TGTTAAAATCGGGAGTCCCTGGAGTTTTCGTAATTGAATTTGTCCGAGGTAAACAAGAAGAGTAATATGGAAAGGACAGTGCGCCAGAGCATAATACGACGAAGCGTTTGAAATTGACGATGGCGTCATCTTATTCGGCCTTGTCCCACTGACGATGAATCCGCCCGAAGAACAATTCGAATACGTTACAGTGCGCAGACTCTGCGCTCTAAAGAATCGCCAAAATCATTTCGATTGCTAGAACGAATAGAAAGGTCAATTGCAATCGATACGATTTGTACATTGTCGCCAATCACGTCCCACAGACTGTGTATTGGGAGTCGAGAAAAGTCGGGGGAAAATGAGAAAATCAGAAATCCATCTCGCCTGGAGCACTTTTCACCTCCTTGAGCCGTATCGACGTGTGACGAGTAAGGAGCGAATGTACGAAGGTTTGAGGTCGTTGATACGTCTTATTTTATAGACGAAGGAACCTCTTTGGTGATCCCGTCGTCTTCACAGGCAACGGTGAATCACGAGGCACGACTATATAAACTGCGAATGATTAGCGTGAATCATTAGCGAATCACTGACAAGGTCGTATGGAGTAGGTTTTTTTCAATCGCGAATAACTATTTACAAAGAAAATCAGTAATAGGATGACGAGCGCGAATCGGCAAAATCGAACCTATACAGCGAAGAAGATGGGCAAAAATATATAAGCGAAGAGATCAAAGAGGACCAAGGATCATTGAGATTACGAGCAGAAACAAAATCTAGCAAAGGTGACCAGAGAATAAAAATATTCATGGATACCCCCTAACAGAGAGAAGAACATACGGAGGCTGCGAAAGGAAGGTCCACGGCTCTGTTGGAATATAGAGGTCGCTGAGGTCACTTTGAGTGACGTCACTCACGGGCACGCCTGCACGACTGCCTCGTAGGCGGAGAACGGTTTATGGATTTTTAAATAACGAAAGATCGAGGACGATAGGGCACCGTCGTTAGACAATTTTTCCAAAAATCAAACTGCTACTTTGATATACATATGATAAATAACACACACAACTGTTTGTTGGATTTTTATAAAAATAAAAAATTGTCGATAAACGTCATCCTTAACATATGATTTTAATATGCCGAGGTTATAAATCAGCAAAATGTAAGAGATCGTATGCAATAGTATCAATTTTCTTTTATATGTCTAGGACCTATCTGGGTTCCCGCGGAACCAGCCAGGCCTAGCTAGGTAGGACCCTGACAGACCCGTGATATTCTCATAATGGAATTTTCACCAAGGCGCGTATAGTTAATCTTACTGATTTCCGTACGGTACGGCAATATCGTGAAAATTTTTATTATAGATCACGTTTTTTGATACACCGGCAATATTGTGCTTTCGTATTGAAGGATGACTAAAAAAATCGGAGACATGAATAAATAACGAGCTATCTGGTAGCAACAATCGAAACTAATCGTCATAGTGGCTGAAAAACACGAATTGACGTAAAACACGTCAAATACCGTTACACGCAACAAAGTTTACTCGTTATGGATATCTCTATAGCTAAATGTGAAAATAAAAAATTCTGCAAACGCGTGCGATCGCTCCAACTCCATTTAAGGAATCAAAGTTTTCAGGCAATCATGAAACTACAAGCAACACTAGGAGTACGATTTCATGCCGCCAATACAACAAGACTATGCGAACAGAATTTCAAATGGCAGTACCAAGTTACCTAATGCAGATAAGCACGATTTCAAAGGTATGATAGAGAATTGCTATGAGTATTTGAAATATGATAAGTTTGTAGATAAGTTTCACTTATCAACAAACAGATAATACGGATCAGGCTGAGTGAGTAACTTGTGTATCAGTACCTACGTAAGCATCATTCAGATTTAGATAAAACCGTCTCGATCCCTAGTAGCATTATGAAAATCGTGGTCCCATCGGGGTCCTAGCTAGGCCTGTACTAGCTTAGTGAGGATCCTAGACAGGCTCAGGACCTGCGGAAGAAAGTTTCTACTGCGAATAGTATAGTCGGTGTTAAAAATTATTTAACTATGAACTAACCGTCACGCGACAATCATAGAGAAAATAAAATTGTCCCATATGCTACACAACGACTGTGCGTTTCATCGATTCGAATGAAACCTCAATGTGTCTACCGATGGACGTCAGGCATCATCAAGCACGAATATAGCGAATGTATCGCGTGATAGGTGTAAACACAAGCAAGCGAAGATCGAAAGGATCGATTTATACCGGTTGTGACGAGAGCGCATGGATGTTAGCAAAAATGAAGCTAAGGTCGAATTTCCGAGCCGAACGACGCGATGCACAGTCACGTTACAAAACGGACGCAGAGCCATAATCCGTGATTGGATATCGGCAAAAAGTCATCAAGACATTCTCTCGAAGGTTTCGTACTTCCGCGTGCTTCCTTGGCGTGCGTCTGTAACTGATGCCGATCAGGCTCCCTACTCGTGGACGTAACTTTATTGTCTCTTTTTCTACCCGCGGCTGCAAAGCGTCAGTAAACGATTCTGTAATGCGACTCATTGTTAATATCTCGGTCTCTCTCAACCATTTTCAAAGCATATATATATGTATATATACACAACACACGCCAGGCCTCAATAGAACGACTTTCTATCGGAAGAAAACATTTAAGAACAGTAATTGGCCGATAGGGAGATCGAAATAATCGGGCAGAAGAATAGATTCAATTTCGTTGTCAGTGAATGACGAAATGGCGTCGGATTCTAGAATCGAAAGGTACACCGATACTAGCTACAGTACAATCGATCGCATCTATATGTATACATATAGCGACGGACCCAGTGCACTTAATTTATCTTAACCGATATTCTATATCGAAACAGGAAGGTAAATGTGAAAACGATAAGTTCAGAATGTTTCGTCAATAGGATGCAGCGTTACGCGAGTAACTCCCGAGATTTCATACAAGGTTTTCTCGTTCAGGCACTTTTTCGATGTCTTACTAAACGGGGAAGCGGACGGAAAAGTCATTACGGAATAGAAATCTTGGGGGAAAATATTCTCGTTCATTACGAAAGAAGACTGCATTGGTGTCGCCTAGGTAAATACGTACATCCCTCATCACAGAGAGTCACGTCTTAGAACAGGAATTAATCGAAATCCTGAAAATCAAATTATTTGTCGAAAAGACGGATGATATAAATGAATACATCCCAGAACGAAGTACCCACTGCCTTGGACGCATATTTTTTTATCTACTCGCAACCTCCGACGAATTCACTTCCGAAGTAACATATCGAGACACGTAAAGAAATAATCATTCGCGCGTGATCTTAATAGATTATATTAATGGAAAATTTGTACCACAGAGAGTCGTCGATTATTTTCGAAAAATCGAACGATCATAAAACTGATATTAACGTTCTCAGACTAACGTCCAAGATAAGCTCTCCCGTCGTTACTTCTAATTCGTTCGGGGCGCCGAATTATTTTGAGGCGAGAGCGAGGAATTGCCGAAGAATGCACTCATCCTCGTGGAATGCAATGCGGTAGGACCGGTTTTCAGCTGTGACAAATATCATTCGAAGCCATTGACGTCATCGATCGCCATATACCAAAGCTAACACTTTTATTTCAAAACAAAACTCTGTTCACTGACCATCGCCGTGTTTTGTGTATTATTTGTTCAGGTGAATCAGTGCTCCTTTTAGACCCTGACTGCCTCGTATGCCCCGCACTGCTAAGCGACAGGATACCTCTTGAAGCAGGTAAGTCGTAAGTGAGTGAGCGAGTGGGTAAGAAAGTGTGCAAGAGTAGACAAGGAAGAAAGAAGACAGCGCAAGGTACAAGAAGAGACAGAGACCCAGACCAATGGAATACTGTAGAAACATCAGATAAAAATGGTTATACCATGCAATACTAAAATAACAGAGAGAGCAATAATCATCTTTCAGTACCCTATTGTCTGTCAATTATGTAACGTGGGCGAGACTTATTTCCTGTCGCCCCAATGTACAACTTTCTTTTAGCATTAATGACCTCCCATAGAATTAATAAACTCCTCCGAATCCTTACCAATGCAATACATTAAAGCATTACCGTACATAAACGTGCCGATCGCCTACACGACCCACGATCATTGAATATAACCTCAAAAAAAAAAAGCATGACTTTCGCCGCCTTTGCATATTTCCTGCCTGCGTCCATACTAACATACTTCGTCCGTGTTAGGGACGCCAGAAACGTAACAGGGATTACTGAAACTCGAAATCCACCACTTCGGATTTCTACCCACATTCCTTTAATCCCATCTGCACGAGCCGAGAAGCAGTAAGGGGGTCAGATGTTTCAACGGTCGGATGTTTCAAGAATATGGAGAGCAGGGTGTCGAGCGTTGCGATAGCCATAACAGGAAATGGTGCGTGAGCCCATGTGGAACGTATCGTTGGCAGGTGCCTTTCATTTGGCAGATATCAGTGTAACAACGTACATTCCGTAGACAGCTATTTGACTCTGTATCAAAAAGATTACACCGTCGTGTTTACCATTCATTTAGAATTGCCTACTCTGCGTTAACGCGACTAGATCGGGTGAGGTTAGGTTACCCAGGCTCGAGTATCTCATGAAATTTGGAAACGCCCATCACGTGGCACGGCGAGTGCGCGCATAGAAACAAAGGAAAGGAAAAGAAAAAAAGTATGGCCCAACTTTACGGTGCAACGTACTTGGGTTACTGCGACGGGATACTAAGCAAAATTCGTATGGTGTCCTCTTACTAGATATTGTTTCTTGCGTGCGAGTAACGTTTATGCAAGCGAATAAAGAACTTCGATAAGCATCCAAGGATGGGCCTATATAATGCCACACACCGGAAGCTCACGTTATTGTATACTTAACTTGAGAAAAAAAAATCCATTTCAAGCGTAACGCTACGCGCTGCTAACCCATTGATCTCAAAAGAATTACACGTGACAATAAGCACTCTATTGTTAACCATTATGAATCAAATACGCACCTTTATACCAGACTCGGCTTTCTGGTACCAACTCTTCCGTCTCTTGATAGTGCCCGACATTTCTGCGTGGTATTCCTCGACTTTTCACCTTGCGTAAACTGTATACATACCACCGCGATACGAAGAACACGACTATCCACGCACTTTCACGGTATATAAAAACAAACAAAAAATTCACACTCGCTCCGACTCAAGTTCATTGTCAATAACCCACGCAGTTGAAAGTTATCGAGGAATCGTTGAATTCGATTTACACACAGCAACGTAAAGTTTCCCACAGATCGTTTTCAGGATCACCTCGACCTGGCGAGCCGCAAATTCAATAAGACTAAAGACGACGCGGCTCTTTAGCCGACTTCGTTGAAAATATCTAAAATATATAATAAAAGGTTTCTCTGGAGGTGGCGTAACACGTAACTGACTCACATTGAGTCGTGTGAGTCTACGTTACTGGAATTGGATCGTGTTTCAATGTGCGTGCGTACATTTCATCTAACTCGTGCGGAAGCCGCACCGGTACTGTACTATTTTACCTCCCGTGCGGGAAGACGAGCGTGTGGAGTCGCTAATACAAGTAGTGACCCACCGTACGTGGGGATCAGCCATGTGTGTGATTTGTGTATTTGAATAGGTAGTTAACATTGCTGGCTCATATGTCACCGAGAGTGGGGATACAATGCATGTATGTAACCTATGTGCTTATGTCGACTTTGAAACACGTGCTATATATGCGGGTGACTGATATTACGCGCGTCTAGTTATGTGCATACATATTTAATGCCTTGATAATTCAAGTAGCAGTCGACTGAATATATGAAGAAATTAATGAAACAATCAAGCAACCGTGCGACGAGCGCGTTTGTTATAAAAATAAAGTACAACCTTTGGTTACTGTCAAGAGCACCGATGAATTCTTAATACGTTCAGTTATTCAGTTTTCTATCGAATGCTCATAGTAAGTACGCCCGATGCGTTATCGCGTACGACTATACTTTTGTCTTTTGCGACTGATGCCTGCCATTCGAGATTAACGAGCTTATCTTATCGTGCCGATAGAGTACAGAGATTTCGTGAATTAGTAACTGTCAGTGTCGGCAGACTGAATATAAAATAAATATATCGTAAGCTATTCGCATTTTTATTATTATTTTTGTAATCGTTAAGAAAGGTAGCGTACATTTCCGTGAAAACGAAAGGAAAGCTTTAAATCCGACGTTCCTTTCGTTTGCATGTACCGTATTCGCAAGGAAAACATTTTCTTTTGTAACCCATAACGTACGATCCCCATATGGTCGGTACTTCAGGACAAAGTAAGTTAACCGCATTGAGTCACTGACTATTTACTCAATTTACAAACGGGGCGCCGTCCGCCGTAAAATGAATCGGGGGATGTTCACCCTTCGCATTAAACAAATAAGCCGAACTCCCTATTCAGTCTCGAATAATGGGGAAGACATAAATTTAACCGTTCCATTGATAAGCAGAAAGAACGTCCCTTTTGATTCTTTGACGTTTGTGCATTAGCACTGGGGCTATCGAAGAGGAAAACCGCCCTAATACACTACCCACTTACGAACCATTGAAAGGCTATTCAAAATAAACCCTTTCGTAGGAGAATTTTTTAATACCGTGTCCACTCGTACACTAATGAATAGCCTGAAAGATTATTAAATCGATCCGAAACAACAACAAAATATATAAGTTTTCTGTACTTTTCCAGCTTTTTCGCAATTTATCTCTCGCTATCGTCACGCGCAACAATCCGTATGAACAATTCGTACAAACACAAACTTTTCACGCTTAACCAACAGTGTTGAACATTCCGGGGCTCGCGCTAACCTTAACAAGAAGAGAGAAACTTAACGGTGCTAGACTCCAATGACGCGCGGACGCTGGTACCAGCAGAATTGAACTTGGTATATTCAGACCTGCGTAGTGTGTTTTTCATGATAAAGTAACCCGTTGCGAAATGATTGCTGATAAGGCGCGTTCGAGTGTACATACATGTACGTATATCTACCCGTTACTACGAATGCACTGAGGAAGTAGTGGTGATACGATTCCTTAAATATCGACCTTGAATTGAATTGAATTCGTCTCATCGAAAAAGGTGTTTTCTTACAATTACGTGATGCAGCTCACATAATCATAATATGCCGGTTTCGCGAAGACTGACGTATCGTATTACGTGAAAACAATAGCGCAAAAAGTTTCAAGTGCAAAGTCAATAGACGCAAAAACGAATAAAGTTAGATTGGCCAAGTTCGGTATATACTGTAGTAGGTATTTAATATAGTCGACAAAGAGTGGTCCCCTTCATATAGGATAGATCCGTACAAGGTTTTATTGGTGAAAAAAACTATTGATGATAAACTATAGTGCGATATGTAATACTATTTCACTTAGCATTACTGTTATCTTCTCTCATATTATCCTAATAGTACTTTTCAATTACGAAGACTCGAATAAACAAGGTCGTGGATCACGACTTTTTCTTTCTCGAATAACGCGACAGACGACAACTTATTAATTATTGTACTGTTAATGGATTCGCTTCACTCGAGCCTGATAACCGCGCTTTACGGAAATCTCGGTAACCAATACGCTCTTGTTTCAAATACAAAAAATGTTTATGCACTCGAACTCGTTTTTTTTTTTTTTTTTTCGTAGAATTTTTCTACCGTACTTCCCATAAATACATTCAGCAGGATAAACGATATTTTTTGGTGTACGTTCGATAAAAAAAAATATGGTAAATAAACGATCTAAGTACTAATTTTTAAAACCGTAATATCGTTGGTGCTCACTTACATTATAATCATATTCAATTCAACCTATGACATTTATTCTTCTTTATTATTGTCGCAATCTAGTCGCACGTAATACTTACTCTAATTACAGCGTCAGGACAGTGCAAAGACCTCGCAAGACCTACGCAGCAATTGCAATAGCGATAACTCAAAACAAGTTTGTTCGGCGAACGACTATGATGAAACCAAGCGTGCTACGAAAATGACTGGTTTAACGAACCATCTATAATTCTAGGGGAATAACGGGGAAAGTTTTCTACGAGAAATATCGACTTCTGCCGCCTTTCCTTGCAACCGATTGGCATTCAATCTCGTTGCCAGACAATAGAAGAGCAGCAATGAAAATAAAGAAATATTAGTCAGCTTCACAGAGATCAATAAGAAATTGTGATCCGTATATTCACAGACCTTGAGTGAATGGCAACGCTTCTTTAGTCAGGTATAAAAAAAAAGTACAGTATATTCATTCATCTTACAATTATATAAGAAGTGAGAGCACGACATAGCTCGATACTTAAACATTCCATTTTCATTTTTACGGATAACATTCAAAATTTAAATTCGTATGACAGTTGACATTTTCTGGCCCATACCTAATCTACCGTTACCCACACTATACTATAATCTCCGCAAGTTACTTTGGCCGTCGTCAATAAGTATTATAATTGACCATAAAATCGACATACCTCGTGTCAAAGAAAGTACCTGAAATAGTAACGTTACGCTTGAGTCACGACATATCTGTGGCGTTTCGAAAAATTAAATGGTGCAGGAAAAGCAGAGAGACTGTCTAGAAAAATTTTGCAAAGCCAACGTAAAGAGTGTCGACAAGTTTTATTAAGCAGATTCGATTCATAGTGTGCACAAATAAATATCTTTTTTGACGTTATAACGGGTAGCGAAAATATTTGTGACTTTTAAGAATTATACGTGAATAAATCTTTTTTCAAGGAATTACACTGTTGTGTCGTACGTGACTGATTACAGAAGTACGCGAGCTACGAGGCGAGTTAAGAAATTAAGAATGGAGAAATCCCGATGAAGAAAGAGACTAGGTAGGAAGTCTCGTAAAAGCTAGGCAGGTCGCTGGCTCGTAAAGATATAAAAATGCGCAGGGTAATGTTGGCAATACAGGTTGAAGAATTGAAGCACACCGTTAGGTTGTCTTACGCATCGTCTCACTTGGATCGGTTGACTGGGCATGATCTTTCGATCTTCAATAGCGATGATCGTTAATCGCGATGTGATCAGTGTTCATGATGTTGAGCATTCATAATTTATATGACGAAATATAAAACAGTGATCGCTTAAAATGATACAGCGCTTGTTACCTAGAATTTATTTGCGCAACAGGGTGTTAAATATTTGTAAATATATTCTAAATAATATATTGACTCATCAGAGTTATTATGTGAGACAACAACGTCTCGTGCTTCATAACAATTGAAGAGAATATCGTTGATATTAATAATAACAACAGACTGCAATTTCTCGAATATTATATGGACCTTCTCTTTTATCAAGGAAGTATGTAGATCTTCCGGACGTAACAGCTCGTTATGATAATTCATTCATTATATTCGTATATTTGACGTACATTTCATTCTATTTTGTATTTACGGTTCTTGCTTTATCGCAGCAGTTGTTTATACTAGGCTACCTTATCTAAACGTAAAACTACTCCGATTTCCTCTTCCTGTTGTGCGGTGAATGCTGCTTTCTCGAATTAAAAGTTGGATACAGTTAAGAAAAGTTGTAATCACTAGCGTGTAATCGTTTAAAAAAACTTTGTATATAATTGAAAAATATTTAATATTTTTAGTATTAAATATTATATGTTTTACATTAGCATTACATATGTCAATGATTATGGATATAAATGCGCAATCTACTTCCGAATTCATGTATGTATTTGACGCATTGATAATAAATAATAAAATGATAACGAGATATTTTATAGAGCAATGTTCACTGTCTGATAGTAATAGAGACGTATAATTTGTGAACTTTTACATTATTAATCTAAATTAATCTTTATCTAGACGTGGTGACTGCCGCCCCCTTGTTTGATATTATATAGAATACATTTCTGATGCTTGAAGGGTTTCATGTTAGACTCTATGAGGACATAACAGTTCATTGCTATGAACATCATGCGACTTGACCAATTTTGACATGTTATTAGCTCATGAGACCGTGATTATTATCGGAACTGAATTACTAATGCCTAATAAGAAATCGAACCACGTCCAAAAAGAAATTATTCTCCTAGTGTCCCGCTACTCCGAGCTGGCTCACAATATCTTTTCCTAGGGCACATAGTATAATGACCCAGGACACAAATATTGTTATATCTTATCATGCAATTAGAATATATTTTATGAGTATAATAAAATTATAAATTACATAAATAGATATATAAAATTTATGAAAATTAAATATATCATTTCTGTACTCCAAATAGTAAATATTGTATATATTTTATACTTACAAATCCGCTCGATGCTTTATCTTTTCTGCTGGTCATTTTTTGATTTATCACTGTTATCCTTGTTGATACATTTCCTTATCCTGGAAAGAAATTTCTCTTTGAAAATATGTGTCTGTTTGTTTTTAAATTATACTCATTTAACACTAAACGTACCATCGACTGGTCATTTGACCCTTTTAAAGCCAATAATGCGTTTATAAAAAATTGTCAGTATGTTTAGTGTTAATTTGAAACAGTTTAATGTGCAAAATTTAGTTTAACAATTTACACTTTTCATAGAACTTAAATAACAAGTCTGTCAGCTGTTTTAAAACAAACAAAAGAAATATATTTAATACAAGCAGTACTGAGAAAATAATTAACTCCAAAAATAAATAGTCTGCACAGCTGAATGTATGTTTACTGTTGTATATTTTATACCCAAGTTTTGACTAAGCGTGCAAAAATTCTACAGTACAATATAAAATGGAAAACATATAATAGACTTCATATTTCTCCTAGTGGCTTTAAAAATATGCAGTTCAGAATTGAAAATAGTATAGTTTCTCAAATAATAATTATAGGAACTATGAAAACAAATTTTAATCATTTCATAATATAATATTATCTTATCAATACATACACTCTGAAAGAGATGATAAAGATCAATGAGCTGAAAGCTTTAAAAGACTAAACTCATGAAGAGTAAACCTATAAAGCATTGAGTGTAGGCTTTCTAAATTTAGAGGAAATCTAACAGGTGATATGTAAAGGAGTTGTTGCTGCACACGGATATATCTTAGAGCTATATTTAAACGTATAGTGCTTCTATGAATGAAGCCTAACAAACTTATGTGATCTTGACCTAATACAGTATCAATCGTAATACACTTAATACGTAATACCTAAAAAATAATTTTAAAACCATATCAAATTATATTATTCCTAATATTTGTATGTACTACTCCATAATGACCATAGTCATACTTGTACAATTTACAATACAATATTCACACAATAAAGTCCATGATCTTCTACAATTATAATTTTTAAGTAGCCTCACCAGTGGCAATAAAAATATGCTTATAAATTAATTATAATACTCACTGTTTAAATTTAAAAACAGGACTCAATCAATTTCATATTCTTTAGCAGGTATTTCATATACATATTAAAAAACGGAGCACATTTAATGACATAATTAACTTGAATTTGAAAGATTGAAAATCAATCATAATTATAAAATAATTTCTAAAAAGTCAGTATTAGATTCAAACATTAGTGATGGCCCGTTCTTCTTTAAAAGGGAAAATTTGAGAAAATTAGAACATAAACCTAACCAAGAAACGAACTTAGCGGATTCTGAAGCTGAAATAAAGGAAATGTGTACGGTGATTAATCATATTTACCTGAATATATTAGGTGTCTTATTCACGACACTCGTTTATACATCCATTTACACAGAACCATACACAAGAAACGTTTTAAAAAATATTCACATCGAGCACAACGTGAAACTTTTTAAAAGAATGAGCCGCTTCAAGATACAAACTGACCGGAAAGCGGTCGAATAATTTGCGATCCACCAGACGGTTGAAATTACCTTTTAACGTAAAAACTTTCATTTGACTCAAAGCAACGCTTACACCAAGGAACACATCACGAAATATAAAGAACCAAACCTTTGAGCTATCAACAGTCCAACATGAAATACTAAGTAAACTGACCACTGAACTTAAAAAATGGTATCGCTTGCAAAATCCCGTCTACAATTGAATTGAAAATACCCGTTACACTCGTTCTATAAAACCCATGTCACCCGATGCGACACGTGAAGGAAGGTAGCTAGGCGTTGGAACACTGCCGCCATCTCGCAGCGCAAAAATAAAGCTTCCTTATCGGTTAATACTTTTCAATGCTTTTTTGATAACAATTTACTATAAGAGCGTATTCTTTTTACGTTTATTATATAGCATTCTGTGTATAATTATTGATAAGAAAACTGTCAATTCTCAAGATGGCATATATAGTTATTACATTAATGTTAAACTGTCCACTCACATTTATTAATGTAATATGCAAATATTACAAAATTATTTTACAGGCATCGACAGTTACGGGTTCTGAGTATAAATTGAATGTTTTGTAATCACGAAATAATTTTATTGTACTTTAATGGAACAAAGTTGTGCGATTTAGTTTAGATTGGAATATATAAAATATTATTGATATAAGGTTGTATTTCGTAATATAAGCACGGTTACGGTTATACATTTTTAATCATTGCTTCAACTGATTTCTGTGTTCAGTGGAAATCTGTAAATGTGGCTGCTTGTAAAGGACGTTTTCCCAACTGGTGCCAACTATATAAAAGAAGAAGAAATCTGTAAATGCGATTCGCTTAAAATTGATAAACGCAACCTTGATTGAATTATGGAATATAGTCATAATATTCTACACGAGAAGAATTTAAAGAAGTTTTTATAGGACAAAATACTTGCTATTTATGATATGCAGATATTAAACAATTAGTCCGTAAAATTTAAAAAATCTACCCTTCTTAAAGGTCCTTTCAACTTAATAATGGTAATACGATCAACCTTCGACATACCATTATATCGAAATTTGGTATATACAATTTTCATTCTTCGTAATTTCAGCGCCAAATTTATAATAGTTATAACTAGTTAGCTTTCAGATCTACTTAATGGACTTTTTAAATACATTTTTAGGTAATATAAAAATAAAAATAGATATCCGTAATATAATGGCAGATCATAGTTACGATTTATGTAGGTGCACTTTATTTAGACTGATTCTTTGAAATTAATAAGTTTATTAAGTCAATCCAACAATGAATTACGTTTTTACTACTATCCAGTATATGGATCCTTAACTGTTAAAACTATTCAAAATCATTATTACCTGATTAATATATTATTTTTATGAAGCACAATTAAAACATGGAATGATTGACACGTCGTATTGCAACGAAGTTTAAAGATACTCTCGACGCTATGGTTTACGAGACGTTTGACTCTGTGTACCAGCTTGGAAGAAACGTATGCAACGCCATCTAGGAACGGAACCGTTATTTATTATTAAAATGGCGGCAGCGTGCATGGTGCGGGTCAGTACAAATTAGTTCCTTGCAGTTCCTTGTGATTGGTTGGCATAGAGTGATCAATCGATCTATCGCATGAGAAAACTATCCTGAAATTTAATGGAGTTGCTGTCTTGTTAACGTGTTTAAACTGTATCTTACGCGATAAAGTAATTAGAAAATCTGTTGTGAAAAAAAGGTTAATTACACCACGAAACTCGCCATGGCCGACTCGTCGTATGAGAAAGGATTAACAGAACTCTCAAAGATGAAGGTAAACTTTAGTTTGAATTACACATGTTCGGCAAATAGTTGATCATACTAACCTTAAATTTGTACATTACCTCAGTTGATGCTCAGTGGCATGATAATTTAAGACAATTGAAAAATGCCGTCTCAATACTTTTTATGCAATTCTGGGAAAGAACATTATTTACTTATATATTATGCAATAAAATATTGAAATTGATGTAAATGATTAACATTGCAATACTTTTCTATAAACTATAATTTTATTTTAACAGTATAAACATATAAATCACTATCATTGGTAGTAATATACGACATAAAAAATGCGTTGCTTTTTATTAATTGAATATTTAATACTCAAGTTTTTGAATTTTAAAACAGTATTTCAAAGTACCAACAAAAAATATACTTTTATAATTAGAAATGAATATATTACAATTGCAAAATATTACAAGTTATAAAAGTAATTTATGAAACTTAGTATTTGAATGGAAATCATAACTTTATCTTCTTATTTATGTGATGCTGAAGTGTGTTTAATTATGTAGATCCATAAACATAACATTGGCTATGAAAAACATTTATGAAAAATATCAATATGTATGAGTTGTTTGTTGAATTTTATTAACATTAAATTTGTATATTGTAGGCTATGTAGGTATATAAAATATGCTACGAGAAACAGTGTAGATTAATTGATAATAGATATCTATAAAAACTTTTTATATAGCTATGATTAGACATTAAGAACTGATGTTAATAATCAAGAAAACTACAATACTGATCTAATTACATTGATAATAAATATCTGCAATTATTACATTTGCTGATAATAATTGATTATATTTTACATCAGTAAAATATCAATGGACGGTAACAGAATGTCAGACTACTTTATATAAAAAAGTAGTAAGTGAATTCTAAGATTAATTCAAATGAATAAGACATAACAATGTATGGCAAAGCTAATATTCATTAGAAAAAATTTTATATTATTATTAAAACGCTTTACTATAGCAGTAACAGAAGATATCTACTGCACAGCTTTGCAAATTTTAAGATTACGAAATTCAATCAAATTTGATATTGATTAATAGTTTTTTATGGATTTTGTGAAAATTTTTAAAGTACCAATTATATATGTACTTCTTCGTTTCATAACATGACTTATGATACCAAGCCAAATATGTAAAGGTTGCAGATTTAAAGGCTGAATTAAAACGTCGTGGTTTATCAACAACAGGAAATAAAACTGAATTGGTAGAAAGACTTCAGTTGGCAATACACGGAGGTAGGAATTTGAATGATAAGATTATCTTAAAAATATGTAGTTGTTGCAATAATATATACATTTTTTTATTCTACTTAACAGATTCTACTTTGTCGTTGGATGAAACTGCAGAAGAAATCTTAGATGAAGATGCTGTGCTTGGGGTAATCATCATATCACTTATTATACAAATGCTAATTTTCCAAAGAATAATTCTATTTTATAATATGAATCAAAAATTTAACATATTTGTTTTATTAACTGAAACAGTCTGCTTAATTTTCATGCAGGATGAAGAAATTGAAGAGCTGTCTAGTAAACCTGACTCGCACGAAATAACAGAAAAACGAAAACTATCAACAGACAGTAATATAGGAAATCCAAAAAAAATTGTTCTAAATCGTAATCCTATTATCGAAGAGATTCAAATTGATCAGAAAAAAGAAAATGAAAATGATTCCAAAAAGTCAGAGAGTGGAGCGTCAGAAAAGAAAGTTATTAAATTATCCCAACTTGGTGTCAAAGAAGTAAGAAACCTTTTTCTTTTATATACTCTATGTTCACTTCAAACATTAGGGAATCACAATTTGTTTATACTGTTACCACTTATTTTTTGCAAATGTGGTATGAATGTCATACTTATAGGTATATTGACAATGATAAAGACATTTCCTCCAACTGTTCAAAATTTTATAATTTTTAAATAGCCAACTACAGACTTGCAGTAAATCATGACTCTTTAAAAAAAATACATTTACAAAGCGTTTATAAAATATTTTTTTTAACAGCGATTGGAAATGCGAGCAAAGAAATTTGGCATGCCCCTCTCAGAATCTGCAAAAAAGGAAGCCCGGTCAGCTAGATTTAATACCAACAATCAGAATAATAAATCAGCTGCTTCTGTCAATACACCTGTGGTAAGATTACTTTCACGCTTATTAATATATTGACAAGAATGTAATTAATTATTATCTATATTCTCCTTTGTAAATGCAATTATATCCAAAAAATTTATTTTTCTTAGATTTATATTTTCTCATATTCATTCTGAAACGTATAGTAAAATGATCAGAATCAGTTATAATCAATACATTTGAACTTTACAGCATACAACATACGATGTACTGAAAAAGCGAGCAGAAAGATTTGGTGCTTCAGTTTCAACATTAATGGACAAGGTGAGATTTTCCATATTGTTATAATAAGCGATAACATTGTTACTTTTAATAATAATGTAAATAATTTTACACCTTTAGATATTTATCATTTATTTCGTTTGATATTTAGGCGGAACTGGAAGCAAGAATAGAAAAGAGGAAAGCAAGATTTGGTGAAGTAAAGCCTGTCGAGAAAGTATTCCAGAACAAAATCAAAATAGTGAAATGATATTCAGTTTTATATACCAAAACAGTGCTTTAGGTTAAGATTAGTGTTTTAAGATCTTCTGCATTGAATAAACTATAATCTCCGTCGAACAGAATCGCCATAATTGTTAAAAACAAATTCATTTTAATTCCTACTTAAAAATGTGTTGTCTTAAAATCGTAAGAATGCACTACTGCATTAAATCGTTTTGATTCATTAAATCATTATTCATTATTATAATAAAAGTTTTAATGTCACTTTCTTTTTTACGCATCACTTATTATTAACGTTACATATAATGCCAAAACAAGGTATCATGAACATTACTCTACTTTATAATTTTATGAACGAAATGAAAACGAATAATATCATTTGTATTTTACACTTGTTCTTAAATAATATATTAATTATAAAACGAAATTTACACATGACGAATATCGCAAATAATCTATTCTTGACTATACAATTCAATAGAAGTGAAAAATAAAAATGACTAAATTGATAGAGTACTTTTTATTATAGATCCCCGGTCGCTAATAACGAATAGATACTACCTCTTAATGGAGCAGTTTTTTATCAATTACCAAATTAAGAACAGATGCAAAAGAATTGAAGTTACATTTCTTTAATTGTCCTATGTGTATTGGATTGAAACGTTCTGTAAATAAAAACGCTACGTGCAGAGAGGCAAGAAATAATTAAGCTTTGGAAATAAGAAGCGAGAAACGACTAAGATCGATTGTCGAATGCTGCATCCAAGGTATTTATTACATAATACATGTATAAAATGTCAAATGTTCAAAGTTAAACTGGAGATTAACTATGATATTTTATTGACCACATAATAATAGGGAATGTAATAATGACATTCCTATTGAAAATTCATACGATAAATATAGAAAAATTAATTTGATTATTGTCTTATTTTGGGGTGCACATTTATCATGTGTAGATGTGCATCCTAAAATCAGTCAGTCAACCATGCTGCATACGTAGCGTTATGTGATCTGACAGATAATTAAAATATCTGAAATTGTCATTATTTGATTTATGCTTCTACGGACTTAAAATTATAGTAAACAAACACTTGACGGTTCAAAATTATCTGGTAAGTTGTAAAACTATATTACACGAACACTGCATACATGTTGATAGGTAGTAGCTGTTATTCAGAATTCGACTGTGCTTAATTCGGACAATAAAACTCGATGGATATTGATAAAATATTAATTAGCTGTATTTATTTGTGACCGTGTACGTTTAACGCTTTCTTTCAGTAAGAACTGTATTGATATTTTTTTTCTATTAACAGTGATCATACGTATGTTAGTCAACTATCGCAGCGTTGGATTTTATTCATTTGTTAAATAAACCAATGAAGAAACATGACTATTGCATTATTTTTGTGCTTATGATGAAACATGGAATACACATTTAACAATAATAGTGAAACGCTAAGGGGCATTCAGTCGATATTCGTTCGTCATTTATAAGTCATGTTTACGAATGAGGTAAAATCATTCGCTTGCTAATACGAATCCATTGATGTTATATGATACTGTATTAACACTTAATAAAAATCAAATATGAAAAAAAAAACAATATCACATTTGCATTCATCACTATTTAACGTAACATATAGTATTTCAAAATAATGTATTCAAAATATCGTCGACCTTAAGAACAACAAGTGTACAAGTTTGATTTGTCACGGTTCTACTAAGATCATCGAAACTCTTATTTTTAGCGTAAATGTGAACGCTGAATGCAGGACAAAAGGAAATTTCTGTAGAAAATAGAATTTTTCTTTTTTCGTAACTGCATCATGGTTCCCACAGTGCAGTTTTGCAGTCATAAATCAAAAGAAAACAGATGGTAATCGAAGACAAAAGTAGAATATCTAAAAACAAAGCATATCAATATTCTGTTCTATGCAACTGTGTTTACGATATATTATCTAATCTTTCAGGTTTCAATGTCACAAAACGATTCTCTCAAGGAAATCAATAAAATTATTATCGTTTCAAGTGTAAACGTAAAAAACAATAAATACAGTTTAATACATGCTGTAGTTTAACAATGGATGAATCTTAGTGCCATTTCAATATACGACCATATGACGTCGCAAGCAATGAAATAATTTCGCACATTGAAACTAGAAAAACAGTGACATATATAGTACTTAAATTGTTGACATCTTGGAATATAGTAACATTGAAATAACTGACAAGCACATAAATTTGATAAAGACAGAAAATCATGACTTGATTCACGCTTGTCAAATAATTTCACGTTTGCGTTTATTGATTAACGTTAAGCAGCACTTATTCCTATTAAGTTTACTTTCTTTTTAAATCTTGAGTCTCCGGCAATTGCGAGAGATGCTCGTCAATGAAATTTCTTATTAAAATCGTCAAATGGAGATTCAAAATAACCGCATTTTCTTTTTTTTTACTCACAGCTTTCGAAAAAATCACTAAATCGAGAATGCCTTAACTGTCAGTTTCATACCACAAATATAACTTCTCGAACTTTATTTATATTATAAATATAAAGCGGCAGAGGTTTGATCTCTCCTGCCAACATGGAACAACTCGTTATATCGATTACAACAGATAATGTAGGTACACGATCCCTGATGGGTTTAATCGAAGAATACATTAGATTTATGGCGAATTTTCGAATATTTTCCTTTGTCGAGTTTCCATGGTGAATTCTTTTAGGCCTACGGTAAGTGCGTGTGAAAGAGCGACGCTGTCACTTTCTTGCGTCTCTAATTTAAATCAAGAACGAAGCCGTTCGCGAACGTAATTTATTTTGGCCTAAGTCCACCGATTGCGGTGGACAGAGTAAAATTTGTTGCTGTCGGAAGGCTGGTAGGACTTAAAAGCGGTGCTGGAGTATCACCTACTCCAGTACTACTCACGGCACTGCTTTCACTCTTGTAACGGATGTTAGTATACTCCCGGCCCAGTTGTAAAGATTTCTGTAATGCAAAATGACATTGTAATAGTTAGTATAGCAATTTCTCCTAGTAAATAAATAATCATCAAGTATTTACACTACCTGCTCAGCTTGCATACGCTGAGACACAGTCTCGATGTAGTGCAGAACAGCAAGGTACACGAACTTGTACTGAGCTTCAGTCTGTACCATTCCGGACCGTTGAGAACGTACCCTTTGAATCGTTCGCTGAATATCGATTTCGCAGTCGAGTCCTAGCGTAAACAAATAAATAACAATTAGTATTCCTTAAGTTTACACTGAGTATTGTCATTGGCTGCTCATTATGAGATATTGCTGTATGTTCTGAGCTCTAATTACCATGTCGTTTAATTTGATCTAGGATCATATCAATGACAACAAAGGTACCAGTGCGCCCAATGCCAGCGCTGCAGTGTACAAGAATCGGTCCTACTAATGGAGGTTTTGGTCCATTGGGAGAACTTTGATTACTCATTGCAGCAGCTATCGATTCCTGCCTTGCATTCACGTCATGAAGAAAATTTAAAACGCATCCGGGGTCCGACGGTACTCCGTGATCCGGCCATGCCTATTAGTTATTTTTCATTAATAAAATTGTGCGTTATATTTTGATAGAATTAATTAAATCTAGTGAACATTAATGAAACAATAAGAATCTAAAAAGTAACACTTAAATATGAGAAATATTTTATGGATAAACTTTTGTAAGCATAAACTTCAGATAAAGAAATGCATCATGAGAGTATAAGGAATACAACTATGATTAGACATGTATCTAATATGCAAGAGTACTTGAAAATGATAATGGAAAATCCTTCTAGGCTCAGGAAAGTTTGGCTTTGTTCCTTGTAACAGGAATTTACGTAGAGTATAATCCGCTGTCGAGGTACGCCCTAATGCATGTACTTTCCATTCTCCGTATTCACTAATTTCCCCTTCTTCTGGCCAATACCGAGCACATTTATTCTAAAAAATAAATACCACGATTTTTAAAATCATTCGATTATTGATTAGATGAGTGGTTCGCACACAAACCTTTCCTCTTTCCATTTCTTTGGTGGTCATAACGATCACTCGAGTATTCTCTTGGTACACCATATGCCAAAAATCTTGTATAGTGTTAGGGAGACATCCTTGGGTGGCAATATAACACTTATTAAATGGTCCCGTGTCTCCGGCACCACTAATTATAGAACCCGATCCATCATCCTCTTTGTTCTAAATTGTCATTGTTAATCAACTTTTATTACCCCACACATTAAACTGCATGTATCAGATATATTTCATACTATTCTACAATGAGAGTATCATTGGTATTATAATTGTAATTTACGTTACTCACTCTGATGTAATTAGCATTAATATAATCAGCTCCTGGAACGTTGGGATCTACATCTAATAGTCGTACTCTGGTATGGTCAACTGAAAATACGATCATTAATATTATCCGCAAAATGAATAATATTTGTAAATTAGACTCAGTATAACATTTACATAAAGTAAATCTATATAATCTAATTAATGTAATTCTAAGTATACCGACAATGTCGACATATTACTTACAAGGTAAAATATTTTTGTATCGGTTCTTCGCCCGATTTTCCGGTCTTAGACCTTCTTTTCGTGAAAACAAATGTCGGCACTCGAGTTGTTGTAAAGATTCAAATTCTTCCCAAAACCCAGCCTTCCCTTTTCCACGGCCAGCGCCAACACTGTCATTGCCTGTAGCTCCATTCCAACACAACCAACCATTTGAACAACCATTTTCCTTATGAAGTTGTCTCACTCTACTTTCAATGCCACTGGCATTTATACGGGTCGCATTAAACGGTTGCCTAAGTGTTAACATAATTTTAATTTGTTACAATAAATTTTGTACCGCTCTGGAATATTTCCAGCGAAATTATAAAGTATACAATATGCTTCAATTTAATTTTATACAATGAAAATACAATGTTTCAATAGAACTCAATTTTTACTGTTAAACAATATTTGATACTTGAATCATGATACAATGAAATACTATTTTTATACAGCATTCATGTAGCAAAATCAAGATAGATCTAACAAAATTAAATACAGAAGGGAATCATAATAAATAATGTGTTAGACACTCACCGTAAATGAACGACACTCCCACTCGTTTCTACCATAGGATTACGTTTATAATGCTCTATAAGGTCACTCAGACTGTCGAACTTTTCACCGCCTCCAACATCATACTTATTATCCTGAAACAGAACAAAAAAAAAGTAATACATGATCGATAATAATTAAGCTACGCTTATAATTATGTATTGCTGTGTTTGTCAAATAATAGAAACTGTAATTAACCTGTGATCGTATCATGACGTGAGTTACACGATCGTCAGTGCGTACGGACAACACGAAATCACCAGGTTTACTTTGGGATTCACGAACGAGAAATGAGCCGTTCTTGCCTCGCTCTAACATCAGTCGTTCTGCTTCCTTGGCTGACAAATGGCCATGGAACCACCTTCGTGAAATTGTACGACATATGACATTTGTATGAAAATTAGAAAATTCATAATAACAAAAAGAAAAGTAGAGTCTCGTAAAATATGATAATAATTTTACACAGCATTAATGTAGTCCATAACTGTTTCACTTTTACACATTCAATATGTCTACCTTTCAGTTGTTGGATCTGCACAATTCAGAGGATACTTTAGTTCAATCACTTCACCATTCTTCTCACGCAATTGTCCACCATTTTCCATATAGAACTGAACAAGTTCTGATAATGTAGCAAACTTTTCACCACCATATAGATCATAAAAGTCTCCTGTATTTTGAATCTTAATGTGGGTCACTTCTCCATTCCGCCTGGAAGTTGTATCATTGTTATTAAATTTGAAATTACATTTGCTAATAGAAATGAAAAATAATACATAAAACAAATAAAATCTAATGTAATGACAAATAATTTTAAATTAAAAAGACATGCAGTTGCTTACCTCACTGACAATGTAAAATCACCAGGATTGGAGGAGCTAGGGCGTGCCAGGAAGGAACTATCATATCCACGTTCCATTAATAATCGCTCGGCTTCTAAACCTGATATGTTGGGGTGGAACCATCTGTAAATATAAATAATATATGCTGAATTAATATTACAATAAATTAAATTGCATAACAAAAAATGAGTTTGCTATATAATATATATCATATCATAAATATATATGAAGATTCAAAAAGTACTATAATATCCTTCTTTGCACAGAAACTGAGGCAACAGCTTACTTATAATACTTATTTTTGGAATGGAATCAACAATATAATAACTTTCTAAATGAATAGCTAACAAATATAATTTCTACTCAACATACCATCTAAAGATTTACATAATTCTAACAATATGACAAAATTCTTTATACCATAATCAAATCATATCTCATTATTGAATAAAAGTCAATACCAAGACAATCCAAAATATTTACATAATTCATTGTGCCATCCTAAGATAATTCTTTCTGATATACTTTGTCTAGCAAAATTCCTGTTTTTGTGACAAAGTAGCATAGCATAGCATCGATAAAATATTCTTGTAATGTATGAAATTTGCCATAGTTAATTGCCAAGTGATAATAGTATATACTACTTAATTACTACCAAAATAAAATTGAAATTATTTAAAAGTACCAGTTAACAAGTAGACTATAATGACTACACTCTTGAATTATTCACATTCGTCCAAATGTTATACACTTTATTAGATACGATACTTAATAATTCTATCCTTTATATATATATCAATTTAAACAATATGACAGTTGGATTGCAGTTGTTAAAAACATGACTTAATGTGTGGTTGGATCATTTAATGGCTACAGTGGTTAGAAAAGTAAAGATATGCTGCACATCAAGAACAGCATATCCATTTTCAGTTTTACATATCCTAGTCAGTATTTCTCAGTACAAATAATATGTACATGAAAAAAGCTCTAACAGGAAAATCTTTATGGTTCGTTAGGTTACATTTTTCTTTTCATTTCAATTAGAAATGACAGTGAGTCGTACCATCAGATTAAATACTTAGAACTTACGTTCATATTTCCTCGAACTGCACTCTGACATTGACAAGAAGTAGGACTATTCTCCGAATGTCCGTGAATTATAATAATTATATTTTTTTTATATAAGTAGAAAACGCGTCTCACCTGCGAGATGCCATGTCGTGATTACAATTACAACCACCTGGCAGTCAACAGATCATGTCTCATCGAAGATTCGAAACTGAGCTCACAGTGTCAGTAAATTGTCAGCCGAGGCTTCACTAGCCACTGACACCGACCTGACATTTTCACTTTTAACGAAAACAAAAAGTCAAAGGCTCTACAAATGGATACTACCGTTGTTCTCCGGAACTAAGAAACGACTGCAAATGTGTCCTAAGCAGTCCCAAGTATGTCACAGGCTGCACAGGCTACGTTTCCACTGGAATCGAGCTGAGATAAAATATGTGTTGTATATCTATAGAGTATGGATACTATACTATATGTACTATAGATATACAAACCATGTATTTCAACTTTCGTTCGACTCCGGTGAAAACGTAGCCACAGATTGTGTTTCGATAGCATGCAATCCGCATATCGCTATCTAGGGATCCTAGAAAGCCAAAGAGTCCCTAGGGAACTACTTTAGGTCCGTTCTCGTGAAGTACCTACATTTTCTGCACTTTTCAAAAAGTGCAGAAAGTGTAAGTAACAAGAACAAACATATTCTGTATTTCATGCATACCGTGAAATTAATTAACTGCCGTTCTACATGACTTACATGACATTCGTAAACTATCAATCGATATAAATGTACGTAGTTTTTAATTTTAATATAGTATGAAACATTTGGCATATTAATCACCTTCTGTACAATCATTGTTATCACTGAAACATATCTTATCGAGTACTACTTGGCAGGCTGTGCCAAAAATCTTTCAAATATACTCTTAACTAGTAAGAAAATCTAATATTTAGCGCCTTTAGTTACATCGAAAAAGGTTTAGCCCGGGATTTCACTATTTTTTTGAAACTTAGTCCAACATATTTGATAAATCCCGATCTTCTTTATTATGAATTACAATTGTGCTGTCGCTATCGTTATTTTAAAAATTGCAAAATTATACTAAACCCGATGATATTACTAGAGATGAGTAGAGAGATTGCCAGTGGGCCGATTTTCTTGAAATTAATTTTATTTGGGCATCGACGCGCCACCTGAGCGAAGGGCCGTTGAAACATACTCACGTTTTTTGATTGGTTCTTTATTTATAAATAGATAACTACGCGTGCTATTCGTAACAGTTGATCATCTCCTTACTCACTCTGTGTATGGATGTACATACAGTATACTGGATATCATAGCATTTCTTGTGAGTTAACCTACAGTGTTAACCTCAAAAGGAGTACAAACTGATACAAACAAACGCTGCCTCTGAAGAAAAATTTAAGTAAAATATGAGGAAAGCAGCAAAATCCAGAATACTAGATACCCTGCACAAAGGATTTGTTATAACCTGCATGGCTGTCACGTTGGGTGGAACTGTTTTAATCGGATACTCATATTTTAATTACGTTATGTACGTCCGGCCGGAATACCAGAGACAAAAATTGTTGGCCGAGGAAGAACTACTAAAAGAAGGAAAATCTACAGGAGTTTCTATGAATGTACTTGCATCATAATATATAACACTTCTGTAAATAGCTCATGTATGGAGAAACTGATATCTTCTGCCTGTAACTCCAACCGTCATTGTACAATGAATTTGCAACAATTATGACTGTTTCATTAAAACTGTTTTTAGTTCTCTATCTTGTCTTACATTAATATACCTGTATCTGATATAAAGCTCTTTTTTTTATTGTAAGAATATGATAACAGATATATGCAAACATTCAGATAACATTTAAATATAAATAATTTATTCAATATATATAATGAAAATCATTTCCTATTATTCTTCCTTACGATGAAAAAATTTTCAAGTACTGATGTTATAAAAATGAAAGAATTACAACATCAGAGGTGTATAAATCTCTCATATAAAACAAATATAATTTAGTCAATTTTTTATTATATTAAGAAACATTAATCTTGATTTGCATTACAGTTGTATTAACCATTTATTATAAATTGTAATGAATATATAAACGATGTATTTATAAATGAATGTGATTACGAATATGCATTTGGGACAGTGTAAACCCTGAGCACTAGAAATCTTTCTGAGGAAAAAATATACAATGTTTGACTCAGTATCATCGAGATCTCCACATTATGTACAATACCTTAAAGGTAGAATGTACAGTCTTGAATAAAAATTTCGAATAACTGTACAGCACACAACATCACTATACATGTAATACATAGTAAAAACAAATGGAAATACTATTGCATTTATCCATGTTGCGTGTATAAAATAATATATTTTCTTAATATAACATTACAGATAATGTTATTTTAATTACAATGATTATCTATGGACAAGATTTGTTTGCAAAGTTGTATGCAAACGTTAAATATATGTTCTCAATCGAGCATCTACCGTTTCCTTCTTCTGATTTTAAGCAGGCTCACCATTCTACCTTGCAGGTACTGGATTGGTAGAGAAAATAGATATCCAGATTTATCAAGTTAGGGTAAATACCCAATAGCAAGTGTTCCAAAACGAAAAGCAGTAATAGTATCACATTTTTATCATAATGATAACTTCCAGCTTTATCGTAAATTTCATATTTTTCATTAAATTCTGTTAGCAAAAGAAGCGACATTTGCTCAGCGAAAGTACGTATAAATATAGTTTTATGACTCTTGCAATGCCATTCAATGCATACTTATAATACTGTGGACTGATTTAAATAATGAAACTGAAAATAGTACGTCTTTAATTTTGTGGAAATTATTGCATATGAATTTTGTACATTGATAAACATACAAATGTCATTCATGTAGTTCACACTCTAATTCTTACGTTAGCACGAAGAAAGAAGAAGGAAAAATTGTAACGAACGGTGTTCGCTGTTACAAATTAATATTATAAAATTTGGTATTCTAAATAAACATCTTAGTCCGTATTCAGAACTCACTTTTAGTGCTAATAGCGCGCTTTTAAATTTTTGTTAGTGACTTTTAACTACAACCGACTGTTCGTGACTTTAAGAGCGAGTTGTGAATACGGGCTCTTATATTTAATATTTACATTTCCTTAAGTATATCATATACTAGGCTTATACGAATTTATAAACGAACCCAGCACTTTCGAACCGTTATGCTATAAGTGTCAACTAAAGTACATTCTTCATATAATTATTGTAAGTAGAACACAAATCGTAGCGAAACAATTAATGCTGCAAAAAACATACAACATGAAGCATGTATGATTTATTTTCAATAAAATCGTAAACGGTTCTAGGTCGATCACCATGAAAATGAATTTTTTATTTTGCACGCCATTTTTTATCTTATTCTTTGTGTCGCAACGATTTGGGCCCTGCTTAAATATTATATTCCATTATAAAAAAAAATATACAAATGCATTTTTTGCCGCCTCGAACATATAACGGTGATGTATTGTGTCTTTACATAGTTTATCAAAATTCTTTTCAACCTTATTTACATCAATTTCCATATTAGATCAAAGATCGGCTGTCTTACAGTCACTAAAACTTTCCAGCCGATCGTGAACTGCTGGATATGTACCATCGTAAATTCACTAAATACAAAGGCGAATATTCTACACAAATCTACGTATTGAGAGTTAACGCTTGTAACAACATATACCTTTGAAACAACAGTCAGTATTTTATATTGGACGTATATTCTGTTAATTTGTTGTTGCACGTTGTCTTGATTTTTCTTAGAATTTGGATATCTATATAACCAATGCTTCTAAGTTATATGAAAATATTATAATTGATATAAATATCATTATCTTTAAACGTTCCTCCTTCCTTCCTTTCCTTATGGCTGACTCTTCCAATGAGGAAATGTGCCAGTAACTAGTTCTAAAGTCAGGTTGGAAAGATTATGCTGGACTCTAGATGTATCTTTAAACGTTAAAAACAATTGTTCACTAACTGCAGTGAGAATTCAATATAGCTGATAAGCCATTAAAAGAATTATTCAAAATCGAAAGTAATGACTAAAAAAAAATCTGATATGTAATAGAAATTACAATAGTGCCACTGTTTCAGAAAATGAAATCATATAAAAGAAATGTGTAGAACTATACTTCTTGAGCCGATATAAATGTGAATTTACGAGATACTGCATTACGACGAGTTTCTTGCACAGACCCTGTAGCCCCGAGGCTATGATGTGTTTTTACTTTAAGATACGAATATCTTAAATGAATAAAAATGAATTAAAGAATGAAAGGGTTCACGAATTGTTATTAGTCGGTGGGGCGGAATTAGACATAGAGTCTAGCCGCATCGAGTCGATCCTGGCTACGATCTTCAGTGCTGGTCCTAATTTGATGCTCATTGCCGACATTAAGTGATCTTCTTTAAGTAACATTAGAGCCTGTCCATCGATTTCTTGTATCGCAAAGTCATCCGCATAATCCGCACAACCCGGTAAGCCACGTATAAACTCGCACACTTCGTTCACCTATTTTTCCCATTAAAATTATTAATATTATGTTTACGCACCCACCATTATTACTATAGCAACGATCTATAAGGATTTGTAAAACATTATAACTTACCGTCCACTTTACAGGATTCACCCGTGGGGTTAATTCGTCTATGGTCGGAGTAGCTGTTATAGCAGAAAGTAACTTTTCGTCACCATTTTTCTTTGCCATATCATTGGCATTGTTGTGTTTTGTATCTGTATCCATTTCCGTCCATTCCTTTTCATTTGTATCTCTATCTCTGTTTTCTTTTCTTTTACTGCAGAACAATTGATGATATTATTATAGTTACTCAAAAGTTTCTAATAATGACAAAATTTAAACATTGATGGACTGACCTCTTCGCACAAATGGCTGAACAGAACCTCTTCTCCTTCTTGACCTTTCCATTTTGCTCCTCAATATGAGTGCCACATGATTCACATTTGCCAGTTTGTCCCTCGAATCCATCAGTATCAGTGGAATAATTAGGAGCATGTTTCTTTCCTAAAATAGTAATGAATAAAAACAATAAGTCACCTCAAATGATACTTTAGAATTCGGTAAGAAAGAAATAGAATTGGCGATTGTGTACTTTTCTTACTAGGAGGTTCTTCCTGTATATCCTTATCCGAGGATGATAAACCATTCCGATTCGTTGAGTTGCTTGTATCGTGTCCAATTTGGTTAACAGAGCCAGTCAAAGATGATCGGTTAACTGCAAATGGTTCCGATGCTGTAAGTCAGAATAGAGGACCAATTAGTTGCCTCAATTTAATAGTAGGAAACGAAATCTCAGTATTAAAGAATCTGAAATGAAACTTGTCCCTAAACTGCAACTCTAAACGATACCTCAATGCCTACAAAATTAGTTCTGAACTTTTCATATGACCTTGCGAAATTTCGAATAAGTTAGACTCCATCGTATTTAATTACTGTTGCAATATACTTATATACTTCTTGAAAATAAGAATGTGTATTCACCTTCTTGTATGACAAACCCTTCGATCACGTGCGTTAAAACCTGAGGTTTCACCATAGCTTTTGGAGGTGCTTGTTTACTGTTTGCCGTAGGTGGTACAGACACAGAAATTGTAGCTGGTTCATCGCCAATAACACCATTAGTAATCGAATTAACAGCATTGGCAAGTCCAGCTAAAGGGTTGCCACAAGATTTTTCCTCTGCCTTTGAAACTGCGTTACCATTATCTTCTTTAATACCGCTTTTACATTGGTCCCCTTCTAAAGAAGGGAATATTTTATCAAATACTTTATAACAACAAATCACTTACTATAATGTGTGCGAGAATCGCTAATAATTGCTTTTGCGTAAATATATTAAATTAAGTACGAACCTGACGTCTCCATGTTCGTCATTGGTACTTCTTCTATCGTTGCAGATGTGATTTCTTCCTTCTTCACGGCGCATTTCGAAGGATCGTCATTATTAACGGACGGATTTTGAACGGGCGGTAGCATTGGCGGACAATCATTTTGATGATTACGTTCAGGAGATGATATCATCATAGGTGAATTGGTATTATCATGTTGCTGTTGATCCGTCGATTGACTAACCATTGACATCGTTTGTACCTGTGGAGCTCCACTGACTATTTGATTGCCTATTATCGTTGGATTGATTGTCTGTAATAAATGCACAAACCATATTAAACACATGAAAATAATGTGCAAATAGCAACTTTTGAGTTATGTGTACTACATACCGGTAACTGAAGCTGCTGAACCGTTGACATGGGAGATTGTTGCACTTGATTCATTTGTAATGTGGTAGCAACTCCAACTCCAACACCACCCATAGAAACAACAGGCATTATCGGTCTGTCGCCTCCAAGAACCACTCCTGGTTGTTGTTGTTGCAGTGTCATACCTACCACAATATAAATTCATGTTAAAAATATATGTATATCCAGGATACAAGTCTTAATAAAATTAATTCAATAACTTTAATGACTGACACTCAAAAAATTGTAGAACCTTCTGTTTTTGCAATAAAAGGTCGCATCTAGCGTGTAGTATTTCCAATTTTCGTAATGATAGTAAATTTCGAATGCCTTGATAATGAACAGCCTTGTTAATATTTATATTTATTTTCTTACCCATTATTGGTTTAGACTGTAGTTGTTGCTGAGATGCTTGGGCTTGTTGTTGTTGATATTGCTGCTGTAATTGTTGCTGTTGTTGCATATGTTGCATTTGTTGAATAAACACCTGCTGATGTTGCTGCTGCAGTGCTTGTTGGTTTTGTTGCTGTTGTTGCTGCTGCTGCTGCTGCTGCTGCTGTTGTTGATGTTGTTGCTGCTGCTGCTGCTGCTGCTGTTGTTGCTGCTGCTGCAACTGCTGCTGCTGCTGCTGGGGTGATTGCATTAAAATTTTTTGTTGAGTAAAATTTTGTTTATCGCCAGTCGACATAGGTGAGCCTGGAGGTTGTGCGGCTGAGACAACAGGGGCGTTTGTAGTGATCAGTACTTTGTTGTTACCAACATTGTTGCTCATAGAAGACTGCTGCTGCATTATCATAGTTGCATGATGGACATTTGATTTCGTTTGATTAGCAGCGTCAGCTTTTGCCGTAGCTGAGGCAGCATTAGGACCAGGGCTTGTGCGAACCATTGGTTTACCCCGACCCTTACCTCCACCACCGCCACTTTTCCCACTCTAGGCAAAACAAAATAATTACGTATTATATTAGCCGTTTCTAATATAAATTACTAATACTATTTGCACTCTAATAATGTAGAACTGAATAATGGCATCATAAATCAACAAAACTAATGAATTTACGTTAACATCAAGTAGTAGTGACCTGTGCATGTACCGTTGCTTGTACTCCGTGAACTGTCTGTGTTGAAACAGAACTTGCTGGTCTGATATTAGGTCCCTGGACTCCTTGCAACGAGGATGGAAGAATGCTGAGGGGCCGTTGTCCACCTGCACTCTGCTTACCCTGCTGTTGCTGCTGTTGCTGTATATCCATTACCCTTGGTTTTCCACTAGCTGCAGCTATTTGCTGGACCCCTTGTATTTGTTGTTGAGTAGCTAGCGCTGCAAAACGGTATGATTGCAGGCGAACATGACCTACTTTATTTTTTGAAAAACCACTATACGCAACGATATTCAATTCTACTAGATGTTTACCGTTATGTGTTTGTATCGGCTGTGGACTTTGTATGAACATGTCAGACTGCGTGGGTCCCCTAATGAAAATTTGATTGGGTGCAGTCAGGAGAGTTGGTGGTTGCAGACCCGTCCAAGCGACCTGTGGTGCAAATTGCCAAGGAGCGAACTGCATGGCTCCACCTCTACCACCAGATGGTGTGCCAGCTGTACATGTTGTGTACTATATAACATAATAAAAGATAAACATGTTAAATTATATGAAAATACGAACTTTTCATGTGGCAAAGTAATTGCTCATCTTTCAGAAAATAATTGTAGAATGGACTTTGTTGTTATCATTTTGTATGTATTTTAATTTTAAATTACTTTTTGAACTTGATCCTGTTTGTTAGCTGATTGTTGCTGCTGCTGTTGAATCGAAGGTGGAGGTTGAGGTGAACCTAACACTCCAAGTTGCCCAAAAACTAAAGTTTGCCCTCCTCCAGGATTTGCGGAAGTAGGTACAGGTAAATAACCAGCAGGGAAACCTTGTACTTTGGCTCCACCACCTGCAGGATGTCCTCCACCTTGACCAGGATTCGATGCCGTCGTTAACATATGAGGTGTCAGTTGCGCTGCTGATTGAAAAGGCTTGCCAGCAGTTATTACCTGCAAGTAATGTATTTAATTAGTAAATTGTAACATTGTTATGTCGCTAGATTTCGTGAAGTTTCAAAAATTAACATTATTTACATTATTACCTGTATAGAGGATGGATTAATTCCTGCTGGATGTAGGGCAAGATTTCCAGGCATCAATAAAGGCGTCCCTTGCGTATTATACAGCTGTTGAAGATGGTAGGCCTGACTTTGAATAGGTTGCTGTATGACTTGAACAGCCTGAGGATGAGCTGCCATTGTAGTTATTGTTGTTGCACCTTGCTGCCCAGATAATGTCATTGATACACCACCAACTCCTTGTTGCTGTTGTTGATGGTGCATTGAAACTGCTACAGCATTCTGCAACTATTACATAAATGAGATTATCAATAAAAATACACTTTTTGAGTCATATTATTAACGCGACGGTTCAATACTAAATAGCATCATGATCAATAGTTAATTAGGCCATTCATTCAAGACATTAAATAATTTGTACCTGTTGCTGTGACATGCTAGCTGCTACTTGTGGTTGGACTTGGACTTGTGTTGGAACAACACTGTGCGGACCACCTCCAGGCTGTTGTTGCTGCTGCTGCTGCTGTTGTTGCTGTTGTTGTTGCTGCACTTGTTGCTGAACCTGCTGCTGTACTTGTTGTACTTGCTGCTGAAGCTGTTGTTGTTGGACTTGCTGTTGAGGTTGAACTTGTTGCTGTACTTGCTGCTGCTGAACTTGCTGCTGTTGTTGTTGGGCGTGCTGCTGTTGCTGAACGTTTTGCTGTTGCATATCATGAGTAGTAATCATCATTTGCTGTTGCTGAGGCTGTTGCTGCTGCTGTTGTTGTTGCTGCTGCTGCTGCTGCTGCTGCTGCTGTTGCTGAGACTGCTCGGATTGTGACATTTCAATTTGCTTGACATCCGTCATCTTCCTTGCCATGCCACTTTGCCTCTTCGATCGAGCTACAGTCTTTCTATTGTATTGCTGTATTGACATTCCTATAACAAAACAAAAGTTATCAGATTAGATGTTTCATTTTAATCAAGGATACTGTATTTAAAAGAACTAAAGTGATAAGTGCAAATAAATGTGTTACTATAAATTTATTATTATAATATCAAATTATATCTATTAATCTAGTTCTAGTGAATCAAAGTGTAATTGTTTTAAATAATCCTATAGAGCCTACATAAAGTACTGTCACTCAGAAAATTAAACAACAAATGGGATTTTGCAAATAACATTAGGTAATCGAAAGTAAAAAGCATTGTGCTATTATTATTAATTCATATTGAAATGCATACAAATATTTTTATTATTTTTACTGTTGATAATTTATTAAATTAAACTATAATAAACTACTATTCTATATAAAGTATAGCACCTGTAAAAATATGTAAAGAGTATTTTGATGTGCAGCATGCCTCTTATCGAAGTATAAGCAATATAAAGGCCTTCCTAGAAATCAATAAAATAGAATTTTCATGAAACGTTCATATATTGTAGTCATTTCATTACCAAACTAAAAATTTTAGTCTGCACATGCATACATAGGTATACATATAAACATATTTCAAACAAAACTTTGGAGTTTATTTAATAATTGTCTCTAAAACATCTCCTAACCATTTTATCCTGTGTAGGGTACGACTTTGTTGTTATTCTGTTACATATATACTTGACATGGTCAGAAAATTGTTGTAAACTTCTGTTACATAATTCTGTTTTCCGAAGATAACCTTTTTTACGTCGCATGTATTGGGGGGTTATATCTCTACTATCTGACATGCGTACATATATTCACCAAAAGTAATTTCAGATAGAAATCAACGTTGTGTAGTGTTACAAAAGTCTTTGGGTTTTCTATACGACAAATCCAATCATCAAACCTTTTTGACGATTGCTAAATATCATACTTTCAAAGTAAAAAGTGAGTAACAAAAGATTCTATTTTATTACTAGTCTACAAGTTAGAATATAGTTCGCTTGTTGTGTAAATTACATTGCAATATCATTTCGAACAAAGTTGAGACGATGTTTATTTGTTTATAATGCATGAAGGTATATTTGTTTTGTATATATATGTTAAAAAAAGTTGGCGTAGTTTTCTGAGGTTAAGACATTATTCATCGTTTTGTTGTTTAGGCCATAAAAATTATAGTATATAACCCAATATGATGGAATAGGAAATTCACGAGTCTGGACCCATTGATTGAATAAATTATTGGAAATATTCAATACAATTTCAAAGTATAGTTTTTTATCAAAGGGATTGATTATTTTGACTGGCCAGTTGCTAAGTTGGTTTCATTCGAAGTACATCTCAAAAAGTGTATACTATTTGGCTGGTATCGTGAGGTTCATGGGAGGACCCTACCAAACAGCATTTGGGTCTACCCTGTAGGTTCCCATTGCAAAAGCCCTAAAGAAATCAATAATCGCGTGGATCGTCCCTGAAACGAGAAGTCTGGAAAAGCTCGTAGGTTCGTTGGTTCAGCAAGCATCGTACACGAAGTACTGAGAAGTTAGAGCGTCGTTAGCCATTGAAATTCTGACGTGAAGCTTATGAAATATACAAATTAATGTAGATCGTGAACCCGCAGGCACAGACGTGGCTCGGTAACAGTGGTGCTCAAGTCTTGTCCTCATTGACAAAGCAAAGTGCAATGGCAGTGCTTTGAAACGCGTTCGAAAGTATTGCAAAATGTCCAGCATACGTGGGCAAGCTACCGTGTCCGAATTCGTGGAACGGCTTCTAATTTCAAGGGCGATTGGGTCGGCGCCTTTGAACTCTTGCCTGGCGAAAATTCAGCTAAGAGTAACAATGGCTGCCATTTCGAAATAAGTGTGTAGGTTGACCTCCCCTGTTCTATAGTTCGTGCATAGCACTGACGCGCCATACCCGTCCTCGTCTACCATCCAAACGAAGCACAGAGCCGCTGCAGAAAGGGAGATCGAGAAATAGCAAAAAAGGGGAAGAAAGGGAGGCCTACACAGAGGGCGTCAGAGAAAATGATAAGGACAGCACATATCAGTGGTGCTCAATCTCGACTTGTCATGCCAGTTAAACATCTTTCACCGAATGACAAGTGTGCATCTTGCTTTCCCGTTATGCACTAATTTTTTAAAATACGAAAAAGAACAAATTTCTCCTAAGAAAGCCATAAATACTTTTTTATTCTACAGTACATTTTTTCACTACGTAAATTTTGTAGTTAGACGAAATTTATTTCTTCGTAACAGTGTGACATTTTAACGAAATTGATTTGTAAATATACTTCAAAAACTTGTGCTAGTAGTAATAGAAACCCTAATCGATTTGTCTACATCGAAAAGTGAATAATTTATCTTTCAGAGAAGTTATCGCTTCTATAACGTGAAGGGTGGGAGAAGCTATAACAAAACCAGCATCAACAATCAACAGTGTCCATTTTCAAGATACGATGCAATTAAATTTCAAGTTATTAAAATATATTCTCGTTCAAGGGCTACGAGATAGAAAGTATTGTAGGACCATTAAAGCGATAAGACAAAAAAAAGTGTAAAAAGTCGTTCATCGTGCATTGGTCGTAATGGTTGAGAACACGTTCAGAGGTATAGCTATAGTAAACCTCGTACAGGGTAAACCTCGATAGAAACGGTCCCAGGGCTTGCAAAACCGACGTGAAAATTTACGACGTCCCTACGAAAGTTGGCGGTCTAGCGGGAGAGGGCAGACTGCGCCAAAGTAAAAATGAAAACTGCCAGGAACGCGGGCGATTTCGATTCGATTGGGGCTTCGTTCCAGAGAAAAGGGGGTAATCCATCTTGGAAGAGCGTGGAACAAAATGTCGTCGATCCGGGACCTCCATAATTAGCGTCGAGGGGATGGCGGTCCGGTAGGCTGGGGAGACGAGAGAGTTGGGGTGGGCTGTTAGAAGAGAGAAAGAGAGAACCGAAGGGGGCGAGAAAAAAAATAAGTGAGAGGGGGGAATGATCACGTGGTAGCTGGGGGCTGATGTAAAAGTAGGAGGGAGCGGCACAGGAGGGGGTACAGCGGTCACGAAGGGGAGTGGTGGGGAGAGAGACGCATCGAGAAAGAGACGACTGACAACATGGATATCGCCATTATGGCCATAACAATCATGAGCATAATAATAATAGTAGCACGCGGCGACTACGAGGGCAACCCTCTTGCATCCTTCTCGGGGATGGAGAATCAAAGGTATCGCATGCGGTCGAGGGATGCTTGCGCAGACCCTACCGGTGGTCCGACATCTTGGATCGAAATCAGGCGGGACTCGATGGACATACTGATCGGTAAGGCAGACCAGGAGTCCCGGTCGTTGTGCCGAGTTTACATTGCTCCATTCTAAAACTGCTTAGAATAATACCGCGAGACAGTTAAAAACTAATTAGCAGAAGCCCATATGCAAACACATACACTTTCTCTATCTACTTTCTCACTCTCTTACCCTCTATCTGCCAGTGTATATAATATTCATGCTATATACACATATTACATATACTCACATGCACACACTGCTCTATGCGGTTGTATACACACTACTACTACATCGAATGCACGTCCCGAGTACACAATCTCACGGTGGTTCTCTCGTTAGTTGCTCGAATACTCACATGGCGGCTGCGCAGTCCCACCTAGACACGTTTTGAATATCACTCCGAAAAAAATAAGCACCACCGCGAAAAGTGCACGCCGACTGGTTAATTTTCCCTAGACGAAAAAGGACCGGCGTTAGTTTTCCTGCACGAGAAAAATATAACGTAGCCTTCGGTAATAGCGGTACGAGTTGACGTCGCGAGACTAAGAAAGCATTGGTAGTCGTGTTCGTTGTCTGCCTCTGTGCTCCCCCCACTCTTACCTTCCGTCCCTCCATCCCTCCTCATCCCCCGTCGTTCGTCATCCCCACTCGGTACCAATAAACTCTCCCCCTTGGAGCGACTTCGGCGCCGTTATCCCAGCGACCCCGTTTTCTCATTGGTTCAACGTGGACAAATCCCAGAGGCATCATGAACGTTGGGAAAGGCGGGGCCATCTGGTATGGGGCTTTACGGGCGCATGCTCCTTAACGATACCCATACTCTTGTGCCGCGTTCCTGCATTCAATCGTTACTCCACATGTATAAGCACACCACACCTCTTCTCCAACACACAGGAGTCTACAGTTCCTTCGGGCTTTTGTAACATAGCGCCCCAATATAGAGCAATCCCGGATATAGAAAACTGTGGGCCCTGCTTACTGTTCACCTTAAATAAATTATGTTGCACTCCACAAAGCTATACGTATTATTTTTGTGTGCCTTTGGATACAAATATTGTTGTGGATATTCTATGTTAGACTTACTATTATATCTTTTTAAATATTATTCATGGATTCTTGTTCCATCTAGTCTGGATGTTTAGAAAATATTTTTATCTCTTTTTAATATGGCTATACTTGTCTGGCGATTGGTGGTTTAATGTGGAGAAGGAGCAGTAGTAGGTAGAGTACAGTTTTTTTGGAGAAAGACAATTTTATTTTATTCTTTTTTTACTTGGTATGTTATTTAGCAGATGTTAGGTACTAAACGTATTAGGATTTTGATAAATAAGAAAATGCATCGAACTGTTATCGTACGTTTATTTGTACATTCTACTCGAAGATTATCACCCTGGAAATGCTTGTTAAGTCTGCCTACTTTTGATAACGACTAATATTCTTCCTCGATAGATTCCTTTAAAACGGCCTATTCTTTAAATTTATATACAGATTCACATTAAAGGATTTTTTTTAAAGAAGAGTATAAACATATAATACAATATTTATTAAGGATATTAATAACCATTTGTCCTTATATCATAACTTTAAAAAAACTTTAAATTTTTAACAGTCTAAAAATATTATATTATGTATCTATGTATATAAATTTTCGAACAAAAATTTGTTGTAAAAGCTAAGTGTTCTTCTCGTTGAAATTCTCGAAGTGCCGCTACTGAGATCTCCTCGTGCCAGGAGCGTAGTAAGCAAAAAAGCCATAGGATAAAACACATTAAATCTAAATGTCATAATAGGAAAAAAATATTTTAACCTAACTTAACCTAATCTAATGTCATATATTTTTTATCCTATCAAACTTACAATGTTCCAAAATCTGCCCTTGACTCTCCCTTCATAAAGAACATTACGTTATTTAGTTAGGAGTATTATTTCAGCAATGGTCTTAAAAAAAAGTCAAAGTTAATAGTTATTTATTATTACTTTAAAAGAAATAAATTTTTTACTAAAGGTCTACCTACTTTATACTTGAAAATTCACATTTGTGAAAATATCTTTGGAATTTCTCATTATCCTGAGAGATCGGAGCGCATCGAACGAGAACTAGTTACGGCCCTGACACAGCTGTCTCTAAGCAGTGTTTATACTCTCCGTTCTGCTCCACACTGCAGGCTGCCTACATAGTATTGGTGGCCAATACTGCACTGCCATCTCTCGACCAATCGAACAGAATCTCCCCACTCCTCTATCTCACCCAAGGTACATAAACCAAGCATAACTTGATATCGAATATAGTCTAGAGTCCCGGAATTTCGTGCAATATAGTCTACATAGATGTCGTAGATTTCATTCGAGGTTCACCCAAGCTATACGGATTCAACGATGCAATATAGCATATTACATTCTACAGGTCGCAGATATTATCCCCACAAAAAATTCCACCAGAAAGACTCATTAACCCTAAAAACGTATAAAAATCGAAAATTGATCGCTAAATAAATCCCCCAAAAAAAAATTAAACTCAAAAATTTGCACAAAAACAAATTATATTCATCAATGATAGCAATAATTCCTTACTAAACATACTAAGTTCAAACCCACTAAAGATAGGCTGCACCTATAACCTAACTAATGCAAGGTGAGCCATCGAAGTGCAGCCTAATAAGAGTAGCAATGCGTGTGGGCTTCTCGTACACACAATATACCACGGACACGCAATGTCATTAACAGAGAGCTGTTGCCTCGTGTATTGGTCCGGTCTGTGCGAGCGCACAGATAGAGTCTCCCCCAGTGAGAAGCACTATACCGTGCTATAGCGCAACCGAATATATCCAAAGACCGAACGATAATTATTATCAGCACGTATAGAGCCGTGATCGTGTGTTTGCGTATGTAGAACCGGTGAGCATTATGTGGTGTGGGTAGTGGTGGGGTAAGTAACCGACCAATGGTTAAGGTCGGCCGGGGTTGCCAGGGAAACCGGTTAATGATTCGAGCCACCACTGAGGAATTGGCTCGGCTTGCTGATCCACGCGCATGCGCACCACGGACAAAGATACGATTTATTAATAGCGCCTTCGGTCTCCTCCGTGTGCCAGTATTGCGTGCGTATGCGCGCGCCCTTCCATGTGTCGCACGCATGCCTGTCAATTCTACTGACAGTCGGTTACTACCACTGGCTCCTACGACTACGAGCATTCACTCAGACCCTCATGAACGCTTTCACATACGCTCTTACACGTCGAGGAAGATGAAGGCGCCCGACGAAGCCTCCACGACGATTGGTTTCTTTCCCACCCTGATACTCTCCCTCTCTTTCTCTATCCCTCTCCCTCTCTCACTCTTTCTCTGTCACTCTTTAAGTCTCCCCCTTCCCACCTCTCCCCACCTAGCCCTCACCCAGCTTTCCCCTCTCCTGGTACGCGTCTCTCCCTGCCCCTCCGCTCTTCGCCACCGCTCCGCCGAGGCCCTCTCTCTTTCTCTCTCTCACTCCTTCACGCTCTCCCCCCACTTTAGGTTGTGCGCACCGTTCCATCACGTTTTACTGATTCGATGATTGGCCCCGGCGGCCTCGCCTGTTCACCCGAAAGACTTTATCTACGCACGACTTTCATCGGAGGAAATTGCCAGGAAGGTGTGTCTGCTGCTACTTCCAACTAGTCCCACCTTCCCCCACTTGTCATTTAATTATTAGCGTACGCATCGGAGGCGGCTTGGATTTTCTTTACTTCACATCGTTCCTTACTGGGAAGTACTGACAGATTTCGAAAAATGATTATTCGTATGACTTTACTGGTATGCCTGAATCTGGTACACGATCATTGTGAATTTTTAATATTTCACCATGATCCTTAGTCGCGTATGTGTCAACTAATCACGTATGGATCAATGGACGAAGGCACTTTAATATTTATGTAGTTAAGTCGACCCAGCGATATATGTGCCAATGTGGGATCTGTCGGGTATAGTATGATTTATAAGTACTAGGAGGATGATGGATTTAAAAAATTTATCGAATTCTCCTATTTTTTGTATAACATGAATGTTCCACGTAATATTCACTCGTTCATAGGTCGTAAGGAATAATGGATCACTGGTACAGTTTAATTATGAGAAATTATCTGGATTCTTAAAATAGACACGTTTGCCTTTCCTCGATAAGCAACCTGTCGCTGAACTACTGGTTCCATTAATGAAAACGAGAAAAAAAGGCGTGTAATTCCATAGCCACGCTACAATTCTCCCCGTTCAAGCCGTCAACTATCCCCACCATTACTTTTCATCCCGCGACGCTCTATCGTGTTTTAGTCTAATGTAACGATTGGCTCGACCAGAATCCCCACTAACGGATAGCCCTCACGTCCACCTCCATATATGTACGTCACTGCCACGTGTGGACACTCATATCACTGACACGTACTTACACCCGATGCCTATGCATATATATATATATACATTGTCGGTAATGATTATATCAAATCCTCATCAACCTGTCATATATTTTTTGTGATTTTTTATAATCCAACTTCCATCAGTGTAATCGAAGTTATCAATTACAATAAAGTAGCCTCGAATCGATTGCTCGTGCTGAGATGAATTACGAAAATATTGCTATTAATTAGAATTTTTTTATGGGAGAATCCATCGTCCCATAAGCTAGACGTCATTGGTATTTATTCTTAAAAAAAAATAATTTTTTTCGGCTATCAACTTTGTTACGATTGTCAATTAATCGTGCGATACTATTTTCTATGTGGTGCATATTGTCATAGCGAAGAGGGACATCATTTTCAGAATTTATAAGCAGCCATCTTTGTTTCGCGACGATATATAATTCGCCCTGCCGTTACTCCGTTGATGCGTAGAATTCATTTTATTCGTTTGCTATTGATTATTATACATTTTTTACTCGTCACGTTATCGCGTTCAGCGTTGCCATAGCCAATTTTGCGATCGTCATAATCAAGCCTTACGTTAACTCTACAAAAATTGAATTCGATACAAGGCGGACGTACGCGAACGCTTACTTCACTTGCGAGTGGTTGCTTCTTATAATTTTTATAGCAGGCACCATCATATTTACGAGGGATAAATGAAACATCGATTCATAGGAGAAAGATTGAACTTTCTTCCGATCATTTCAATTTTCCACTATCGTCGTCACGAAACAGTTGAAACCGAAAATCTGGACTTACGAGACTATATGATCCGAATTCCTCAACTTCTTGTAGCAGTAGCGCCATCGTGATAGCAGTATAGTTAGACATATATTTCTTAAGTATTTATGCGTAATCAACGGCATATACAGAAATAATATTTGCTTCAGATTATCGCGACCATAAACATATCAACGATACAAAACTGTATCCCTGAAACGTAAAGTATAGCTATATCTAAAGGATACGTGGTTTGGAACAAAGGATAAAAATATTTTTTTTGAACTACAATATCTTTATAAGGTGACTAGAAGTTTGTAAAAATAATAATAAAAGTTCGTGTAGACGTCTTGTTAAATGTTGCAACGCACGCACGCGTTTTACGGAGTTATTACGTCATATGTCTGAAGCATGCGAAGCAGCGTCTACGTTGAACAAATTGCGAGACCAATTACAATGAAGTTTGTATACGACAACAGGAGATTGAATGTAACCGTAACGCAAGGAAAGTCTTGACTAATTAATAACAGGAAGTTGAGCAGTCACAATGCTGACTTTAATAATTAACATCTTGAGCAAGTCTCCCTCTGTCGGATATATTTAATTGGACGTTAATTTTCTATAATGTTTATAAATAATACACACGAGTAACGTTAATGAATAAATAATATCATTTGCACTATCCTACCTTGTACCTATAGTCCTTGATACCAGTGGGCTACAAGATTATGATTAGAGTCGATCACGTGAATTAATCACGTTGGCAGATATATTCGTTACAAGGCATTGCCCCTAATACCATATACATCTTACTCCAATATACAAAGCAATTATCCCAAGATTTAGTCTGACATTGATTAAGTATGTATGCCTCGTGCATAAGTGAGCTGTATTAGATACCCAATGACGAAGTGCCGATTGGTTAAGAATATCGAAATTACATTATGCCTCGTATTACGTATAGTTAGATGCCAGAATATATCCTGACCTCGCGCAGGAAGTTCAATGCTTGCACCAAATGCACATCTCCCAGCGACATTATAGTGTCAGCCTGTGCAGTATTACGTAGCAAAATGTATCTAAGACTAAAGGTATATCTTATCCTTGACTCGAATCCGCAGCCATAACCATCTTATAGTACAAGCCGTGACATCCATCTCAAAAAGCCATTCGGGTATATCGTACGCGGAAGAAAGTTCGAAATCTTCCGCCCGAAAAATTCTTTAATAATCTCTAAAATTTAAATAATCCTCTCTCGTATCCGGCATTCCAATCTCTCCCTAGATCCTTAACAGCTCCGAACCGCCCAAATGCGTGTCTTGGTCAAAGTTCTCGGTGCACGGTGGAAACTGCATTATCGACAGAGAGAACCCTACCGGTAGGAGATAGAAAGGTGACTATAAAAAAAGTATCTTATCCATAGCTGATTATCGTCCTCGTATACCGGTTCTGCCTAGTATATTACTGACTGTGAGTGAATTTTGTTTGTGGGTGGGATGAGCGATAAATATAGTAGGGTGGTCGCTATGGTGGTTGACTATGGTGGTGCAGTGGCAGTAGGGAACCTGGGCGTCCATAGTTCCCTCGTAGCTCAACGATACAGGATCTATGGGAATCCCGTTATACGTGTCCTTCTCTGTTAAGGCCTTCCCCTTCTCTTGACTCTTACTCCCCACCCCGACGGGACAGCCGTTTTTCGATCTTCTTTCTCTCTCTCTCTCCCTCTACCGCGGTCAATTCCCACTCTTCTTGCGACATAGACAGGAGGACTACGTACCGAGAGCAGTTGAGTAGTGCGCGCGTGCACAGTGGGCGTACCAGGACGGCGTAGCGTGAGGCGTCGAGGACTCACGTGGTGTTCCGACGCTTCTACCTATACATATATACGTAGCGAGTGTCCTGAAGTGTGGGTATATCCTCTATCTTCTGTTTATACAAGCGGACTCTCTGGAGTGCAATAATCAAACGACGACTCTATGGCTGAGAAAGTGGGGACGGTGCACGCGTCTCTTTCTCGCAGTCGTGTATATACGTATATATACGCGTAGAGCCTCTCTCATTCTGTTTATCTCTCTTTCGCTCTCGACCCCCCCCCCCCCCCTATGGCTGAGAAAGTGGGGACGGTGCACGCGTCTCTTTCTCGCAGTCGTGTATATACGTATATATACGCGTAGAGCCTCTCTCATTCTGTTTATCTCTCTTTCGCTCTCGACCCCCCCCCCTCACTCTCTCTCTCTCGCTCTCGCTCTCACTCAATCTCTCCCTTACACTCTCTGATCTCGTCCCCTTCCACGTGCCCGCTACACACCTTGATGTTCCCACCGGTGCATCTATATAGGGTCAAGGGTGCTGTATATTGGAGCGGTATACTTATACGTTATATTTAGGAATACGCACTGGGTATAGCTCATTGTTGACATGTAACTTGCTAGTGGAAAAGTAGTTTGAAGAGTCGATTTATTTATAGCTCAGACTGGTTGATATCAGGGATAATTATTTATTATTTAGAAATCTGAAATATCTCTTGCAATGTAAAAATCTTGTTGATTCGTATTGAAGTTTCAGATTTCAAAGATTCATTATGTTTAGTCTACTGCTCTTTTTTTGGATACTGGGTAATTTACCTGGTTTATTCTACTTTTGTGTACGTAAGTAAGTTTTATCTTTATGCAGATTGAGTTTAGAAGGTTATAGAGTTTTTTATGCTATCAAGTCTTCTGGTTATGGAATATAGATATAAGTAACGCGACCCTCCGGAGTGGCGAGACGCGGATTGCGCTGGTTCATGGGTGGGGATAGACCCCGAGACTCGCTGAATATATAGATTCCCTACAGGCCAATCGCGTACCGATCCTAGAACGTTGGTTGGAAGCCGCCTGAGCACGAAAAATTCCAATAGGCATATCCGCGCACACGAGTTGGTAGATTTGCACGCCAGTTTCTTTCGCGCCGTAAGAGGGGATAACGCGCGCATGGCCAAGAATATAGATCTGCCTATTTATACGTGCTAATACCATAGATCCTTCGTCAGGGACTTTGCAGTGGGATATATAGGTATTCAACTACGATACGTTAGTCGCAATGAGTATTATCGAAGGATTGCGATTTTCTGTAGAAGAAAATTACAGTTTTCGTGACTGGTACGTATATTATTTTACGAATATTTTTGGAAATTTTTAGCAAGTTTGATATTGAACAATTATTTTGAATTACGTGAAATCTCTCCATAATTATTTTAATTGTCGAATGGTCCAGAGGGATTGATAGTTATACATTTTTTTTCATCGGTGAATAATGATCGCTGCAAAGTTAATATGAAAAATTGTATTTTTTTTTCTTATCTGGAGTGAATTTGAAATTTTGAAAAATAATTTTTATATCTTTGTAATATAATATAATCGGGGAAATTCGTACCAGTTACTAGGGACAGGAAAGTTCTTTGTTGCATGTCCATTATTTTCTTTGCTCTTCCCCTTTTCTGGTCGTCACGCTCTTTCTCTCGCCCCGATGACGCGACTTTCTCTTGCTCCGCGTGCGAACTCAGGGGGGAGTCTAGAAAAAAAGAAGGAAAAACTCTGTTGCCCGGAAAAGTATATCGCGCGTACCGAAATGGAAATGCGGAAAAATTGCGGCACTCTCTGGACACTTTTTAGAGTCCTGTGGTGGACTTTAACTGATTGTAAGGAACAGGTAAGTCAACGGGCACCAATGGATGACCTTAGAATCTGCCGAGGGAGTCATATTCCTTTGCGAACAATGGCAGGTCAGGTAACGAGCGAGGTAAATGGCTTCATGACCATTGTAAACCTACTGTTCGAATAAATAGCTTCTTTTCATAAGGAGTCCTTCCGTAGTTAGTTGCGTTACCAAGGCTTTAACGAACCTCTTTTCGTTTATGGCTTGCACTTTTGGGTTTATGGTGCCTCGTTATTTTGTCATTTTACGCCGATATTCGATAGCTGAAAGAGCACGCTTCGGCTCAAGTGTTATATCAGATATTAACTTATTTCAAACAGTTGTGTATTTATGGTCTCTCATATTATACCTGTGTTATACAGCAGTATGATTCGAGTAGAACACCATTTTTTAATAAATTATTTACTGATGATGATATTCAGAGAATTGGTCAGGATTGGAGAGTTCAACGTCACTGATGTTATGCTGTTTGATGACGTTGATAATATAATAGTATAGTATGTTAATATGCATACTCCTTGTGAATGGTAGAAATCTGCAGTTATGACTTTATATAAGAAATTTTAGTTACAGCTGTACAATTTTCTTTTTAGCCAATGTACTAATTTCTAAATAAAAATAAATTTGATGATTTTCAATAATTTAGGCTGCAAACTACAGGAGTCTTTTAAATATAAACGTCCATCGAAAAAATATTCATTGACGAATTGAAACTTATAAAATTCATTATTTTCTTGTAACTTTTTTTACCCGTTTCTTTAAAAAGTAACATAAAATCTTATTAGAGGAATAATTATTTTGGCAAAATTAGTCGTTCTTTCAATATTTATACTTATTTTTTTTTTTTACAGATTTTAGAGGATGCTGAGGAGTATAAACCAATCGCTAAGTAGGACGGTATTTAGTGTACCTAAATACTTACCACTTGCTATTAAACATGCACGAATCCTCTGTTTTCGTCATGCTTCTAACAATACAAAACCAGAGTTAACATCAGTGAGGTACAACGTACAACGTGGACCTTACTCAAAGGTTACTGATAATCATGTACAATTTTTTGATGGTCTCCTTGGACAAGGAAGAGTACTCACTGATCCTGATGAATGTGAAAGCTACAATATAGATTGGATAAAAATGGTTCGAGGTAGGGACTTTGAAGTACGATAATTGAATTCAGTCTACTCCAATTGCCTAATTATGGTTTCAATACTTCATATTGACATCTTTTCAGGTGCGAGTAAGGTAGTCGTGAAGCCAAAGACTACTGAAGAAGTGTCAGCAATATTGCGCTATTGCAATGAAAATCGCTTAGCTGTTTGTCCACAGAGTGGAAATACTGGACTGGTTGGAGGAAATGTACCAGTATTTGATGAAATTATAATTTCTATGAAGTTAATGAATAATATTATTAGTACTGATGAACTGTCAGGTCTGTATTTTAATTGTGGTTCATACAAACAATGTGACATAATTAATTTGTAGAATGAGGTGTGTATGATATTTGTAGTGTATCTGTAATATTAGGAACATTGGTATGTCAGGCTGGTTGTATTCTGGAAAATCTGGAAAAGCATTTAGAAAATGTTAATTTGATGATGCCACTGGATTTGGGTGCTAAAGGAAGTTGTTTAATTGGAGGATGTGTCTCAACAAATGCTGGTGGCCTTAGGCTCTTACGTTATGGAAACCTACATGGAAATATATTGGGATTGGAAGCGGTAAGTAATATTAAAAGGGAAGGCAATACTTTCAAGATCTCGCTATGATATTCACATATCGTATTGTGGTACTTCTTGATACTTTTCAGAAATTAATATTTTCAGGTGAAAGCCAATGGCGAAGTGGTGAACTGCTTGAATACTTTAAAAAAAGATAATACAGGCTACCATATTAAACACATGTTTATTGGTTCAGAGGGTACTCTTGGCATTGTAACTAAAGTAGCAATACAGTGCCCACCACTTCCTAAATCTATAAATGTTGCATTTCTTGGTACGTTCCTTCTTAGCAGTAGCCTATTAAAGTTATATTGCTCAATAGTAGTAATCATGTCATAATATTGTTACAGGTTTAAAAAGCTTTGAAAATGTTTTAAAAACATATAAAGCAGCGAAAAGAGAATTAGGAGAGATTCTATCTTCGTGTGAATTAATTGATAAAACATCATTAGAGGCATGTACCACAGCTTTAGGCCTTAAAAATCCCTTGGACACTGGAAGCAATGACTATGAATTTTATGTTCTTCTTGAAACATCAGGAAGTGAAACACACCATGATGAAGAAAAATTTGCCAGACTATTAGAGAAATTACTTGAAGAGGGTATTATTTCAGATGGCACTCTTGCCAGTGAACCAACCAAAATCAAAGTAGGTTATTGATATTTCATTAACACAAACGTGTCAACACTTGTTTCTGCATAGTAAATAAAACCGCATGAAGAAAGAGAAAAATATAAACTTGAATGGTATTCGCTACTGTAATCTAACCTTGAAGTTTGTGCTTTTACTGTATTAAATGTGACTCTTACAGAATATTTGGACTCTTCGAGAAAGCCTCACTCAAGCTGTTATGTATGATGGTTATGTGTTCAAGTATGACATTTCAATGCCACTTCCAGAATTTTACAAAATCGTTGAGATTCTTCGTGAACGACTAAAGGATCCTCGCATCGTGCGAATAGGAGGATACGGACATCTCGGTATAGTTTATTCATCATGCATAATATTTGTTAATACTGTGTTATAATAGACGTTTGCTTCGTAATGAAAGGATTATTGTGCGTTCACAAGAAAGGATATTATGTGTGCTTACAAGAAATGCATAACTCTTCCCATTCGCGCAGATCCAAGTTTACGTCACAATACGATACACTCCACTCTTACATATAAGATATATACTGCTTTCACGACTATAACCATTGTTATACTTTCTTAGTCATTAATATCTAAGAATTTTTCTCATCCTGATTACTTAAAATAATTCCAGTTATACTTTCGCACGCCTTTAAGAAAGTAGAAAAGTGCTATTGGATATACATTTTACATATAAGAATTAGCAAGTGAAAGTTAAGAAGACAAGACCTGATAAAATAATAAAATGTTGTGAAATTCTCATAGAGAAAGATAATTACTCTGCAAAAAAGCAGTATTTATATGTATACTTATATACGCCAAGTCCATATAGAAGGTATATCTTCATCTAGTTATATTTTTAAATTTTATATTCCGACGTTTAAAGGCACCGCGCCTAAGCAGATAAGTCGAGTGCATCCTATTGGTCATATCGAAGCATACGTAATATCCTTATAACATATGTTGCTGCTGCCTTTTTTTATCAATAAAAGACCCTTTCGCTCTCAACCCTCACCAGGTGGCAGCACCAATCTAGAATCGAATGAAATTGTATATCGAGAACGACTTTTACACACACACACAAACATATAAAGGATATATTATTGTTGACCAGGTGACGGAAATCTGCACTTGCAAGTGTCGATACCGACTTATGCTGAGGATATAGCCTCTCAACTGGAACCATTCATTTTCGAATACATTTCAAAGCAACGTGGTAGCATAAGTGCCGAACATGGCATAGGATTCAAGAAAACGAAGTTCTTGCATTACAGCAAGGACAAGTCTGCGATACAAGTTATGCGTGAGCTCAAGAAAATGATGGATCCAAACGGCATACTCAACCCATATAAAGTCTTAGACCCTTTATGAGATTGCCGTGAGAAGATGATGCTATTTTTGAGTTAACAGTGCATTAATCACAGTAGTATTATTTCTACAAAATAATTTTCTAATTAAAAACATTGTTTATATGAATTTTATAAAAGCACATCTATTGCTATCTTAATAAAGATGTTAATAAATTCAGAATTAATTAAAAATCAATTAACTGGCATGTACATCCATGCAGTATTAGGTAATCCTGTCAAGTAGTAATAATTGTACTTCTCAACGTACAGATGTTCCTCATTGTATATAGGTCTTCCTCACCATAAGTTTTGATACCTAAGGATTCTTTGCTGGGTTTCCCTAACGTTCATATGTTCCTCGCCGTAGTTACTGGTGTTTAGTGTCTCCATGTAGTTCCTGATATTTTGGTGTTAAACATGAAAACTAGAGTGTCCAAACTACATCTCCTCAGTATAATGAAAACCCAAATGTCCGACATTTGTAATTCATTTATTCTTCGTTTATTAACATGGATTGACTAAAGTGTCGCATAGATTTAAATTATGGTTGTGCAATAGGTGATTAGTACTATATTAGAATTCTAAATGACGTATGAAGAAACAAAATATTTTATACAGATAAAATTCTAATCGTTTTAATAATTACGTATTTCTAAGAAATAACCATAATAATTACAGTATTGTGTACTTTTTCATCTGAAAAAAATTTGACTCATATTGCGATATCAACATTTTTGGTTGAGGATCTAATTACAACCGTTATTATAGTATGCATTTGGCGTCGTTTTTTCTTTTGGAAATGTTAGAGCGGATATTACACGATGATTATATAAAACTGTGACTGTATCTATTCGAATTCTTTAATGATTCTATACTCATGTACTTGAATATAATTGTCGTATTAAGTGTAACTCAAATAAATTTTCTATCGCGCGTATTTAATGCCTTATGATGATGTCACCGATATTATTCACTAAATATTTTAATCGAATTATAAAATTTCATTTTTTCAAATTTCGTTACGAGCTGATTGACTGTCAATAAATATTCCCCTCATTTAATATTCTCCACTACGAGAAAGCAGTATAACAATATTAAATTGCACCGATCGAACGTCGTCCGGAGAAATGACGGAAATGTTTTATTGATTGTCCTGAATAGCACGCAGTTAATCAAATTTAGCTATATATTCCTGAATTGAACAAAATTGTTAGATAACGATTTTCTACCAAACCTCATAAATTCCCAGATAACGTAAATTTCTAAAATTATGGAAAAAATATTCACAATTACCTAATCAGATGAAATAGGGAGTAATATAACCTATATTACCGGAAACGCATAAACTCATCGCTAAACGATCTTGCTAAAGACGGAAGTGATCATAGTGGGTCAAAAGGACCGGAAATCTATCTTTGCGAAATGTCAACAGGTATTTAACTACACATAATGAAGATATCGCAACAGATAGGAACTATTACTTATCTAATTTACCTACCGTAGATTCGCATCGCGTACATTCCTAATGGCTGATGGGTATATTAGGTACGGCTGCTGGGAATGACTATAACGTAATCAATAAACTGTGCGCCAGCATCGTACTGGCATTTCCTCTTAGATAAGCGCCTCTGCAAACTACTCAATATTTTTTCGTACTATACAAAACTAGTCTCGCCTCTGGTAATAATCTCTAAAATAGTTAACCTGCAATAATCGATATTCTTGGTAAAATTTCATTAGCCGGAAATAGCAGTTACGGTTGCAGAGTTCACAGTCAGAGGGAAGAGAAAATCAGATGAATTGCTTATTCCTAGAATATCTGTCGTCTCACTGCTTTACGAAATTCGGCTAATTATTCATGTCGCGTTCCTGATGTTCATCGACCCGATATGGTCGCTTGACTAGAAAATATATCTGGGATCTGATCTGTAGTGGAGAAAAGAAAGAAACGATATGGCGAACGACGTAATGTACAATAGGGATGTCTATCTATTCTTTCGTTTTGTAAGAGTCATGGAATCTTATGGAAGTTTACCATTATTCTTATATTACATAGTTGTGAGAGGATGGTCTGCGACGTGCTTCACGAATAACAATGATTTCTCGAAAGGGAGAAATGTTAAATTCATTTGTCGTAATCGGGGATTCCTACCTGGAAAATTATCTGGAATCTTGCACTATGAGGTATCTGTATTTGCATTCCTAACGAAGATGTACGAAGAGGCTGTTGCGTGAAATAATAAAGGTAATTTTTTTTGCAGAATGATTGAAGTTTCCATTGGTGACCGTGGTCCTATGTATTTCAAGTACGCTGTGTAACGGTACTTGACACTATTTCACATGAGAAACCTTAGCGCCAATCAATTCCCACGAAAAGTGCAGCCGAGAGAGAAATTAAATTACGTTTTAGCATAGTGCTTTGTTAACTGTTTCAAATTGTAGTTAATTTGTGTGATATCCGTTCACATGATAAGAGTGTTGAGAATGCAGTTTTCCGGAAAAGTATAGAGAAAATTATACGTCGTATTTTGATATAATATTACGTATAATATTGAGCGTCGTTAATTGACTGCAATTCGTAGTATATGGTACTGATGAATAATTTAAAGCAAAACAAAATTGCAATATTAATTGACCAAACTGTTACGGTCGGATACGAATATATATTTTTACCGAATAAATAGAAATTTTATAATCGAAACATGATATTCCGCAGGAAATAATATTGGTATAATGGTCGAGCTGCCAGAGGGTGTTTGGTTAAAGAATATAAATTCGACGGACATCGATAGGACGTTCCGTTACCGTTATATTAGAAATTAATCCTTTTCCCCGAGGATTTAATTGGCGTTGCAGACGTAAGCTTGTATTATTCCTAGGGAGAACTATTCAATGACAATGGATTATAATTATCATCTGTAACTGCATTAAACTCGAGTAAAATGAGTTACGCTATGAAGGCAATCGATTAGCGTAAGAAAACATTCTAAAGATCGACCAAGTATATATATCTATATAAAATTTGAATAGTAAGTAGAACACACGTAACGAATAAAGAATTCTTGGAAGAAAAAAAACAATAAACCACTCATACTCAATGCAATGCCCTAAATCAGTAGCGTTATTCGTAAGTAATAATTCACGAAGAAAAACACGAAACTGCCCACAGTAGCGCAGAATAGCTTTTCACAAAAATGTCGGGTAAGTGCACAGACACAAGTATGCACGAAGTAATCTACATATCCATGAAATTCGCCGATAAAGTGTAGCAAAACCGTATGGCTTACGTGCTCTTGGAATAGGGGGTGCGTGGGTTGCGTGGAGTGATGACAGCCTCTAGTGTGGTCCAGGATCTGGGGTTCGAACGGCCAATGGCCGCTAGTTTGACGCGACGGTGGCGCCACCATCGAAAGCCACAGTAACGGCGGCTCGCGTCTCGACGCGAGTTGCCAGTCGGTTTCGGCCCACGGCCGCTCGGAGTCGACTCGAGTGCGTTGGATGTTAGGACGGTCGGCCGTCGACGGCCTGGCCTAGCCTGTTTCGGAGTCGTTGCTCTGCAGCGAGTAGTAGTTGATTCTTGGGGTGGAAGTGGTGGAGGTGGCCAGTGGTAGCGCAGCCAGTGCTCGCGGTGGTATTGCTGGTGCTGGTGCTAGTGACAGTGGCGGTTGCTATTGGTGGCGGTGTAGGTGCTGGTGGGAAGAACGGCGACGGTGTAGTGCTGTGTTTTGGGATTGGGTATGGGGGTGAGGGTTGGACGGGTGGATAGTATCAGAGAGGCCGCTGGCACGTCCAGGTGTAGGGTTATCCCGCGAGTGCACTTGATGATTTGGTGATAATGTAAGTTGCAACGAGCTGGAGCGGCGTCGTTTACAAGTACGCCCCCGCCGTAGAGAGATCGATAAGCGGGCTTTCGAAGCAAGCAAGCAAGGAAGCAGTCTGCCATACAGAATAGAATGGTCTGGATAGGTTCGTGGTGACGATTATAGAGCGTGAGACTTGGCGAATCTATCCAAGACTGTTACAATTGAGGCGGAATGCTTGGCGTTTAATTGCGTGACACGCGCTTTACAGGTTCGTCCACTTTCACTCGAGTCGAAGATAGATGTGCGTGCAGAAGGAATCCGCATCGAATGTACCTGCTATCACCGACGTGTCTACAGGAAGAAAATTCTATAGGAGTTACCAAGTGTTCTCGTCGGACCAAATCTTTTAACGACGCTATGGTGACTTAGTGACAAGATCAAACGAGTTAAGAGTGAAATATGGAGCGGAGCGAAGCATCTGTTAGATAAAACCGACAGTGTAGCTAAGAGAAAATGAAGGAACACGGCAACATGAACGATCAGACGGGGGATCATGTCCCCGTCAAGGTACTCAAGTCCTTGCTGAAGAAGCCTGGACAGGTCAAAGCGAAGACCCAGAAGAATCGCGTCGTGATAAATGAGAAGCTCAATGAGTTCTTCGCGGCGGACTACATCATACTGATAAAGGAGGAGTGTTGTGCGGATTACGAGGAGGAGTGTGACTGTTGCTGCCAAGAGCATGAGATGATCCGATTGGGTAATTGTAAGGAGTGTCGTGCTGAATTGAATCTTCATTTCGGGGGTGCTCCTCGATTCGATGATAGAGATGGACAGTCGGACAGTGAATCAGCGGATGGACGCGAACAGGTGTTTCCCGGCGAGGAGTCTCATCCAGAAGACGATGGGCTCGAAGTTCTACATGAGGATAAGGTTTCCGCCACGCCTGATCGTATCCATCAGCAGCAACGACAACCTCATCAGCAACAGGAAACCCTGAGTCCACCCGAGGGCTACAAGGACGTCTGCGAGGAAAACGAACTCGCTGACGAATCGGAGCATCGCATTCATCCCTTATGCGCTGAGTGCAATTACTATCATCAACGGGGGGCAGGTGAGTCATCAAAGTTACCCTGTGCCGTATGACCTGCTAACACCTGACACCGTTCACGTTGGTTCTTCATCAGACCCTTTATTATTTCTGTACACTACCCCTTCCAGAAAGAACCCACCAACCCGCTCATACTTCACCCCTCTTCTTTACCCGCACCTGTACACCTTCGTGTTGGTCAAGGACCTGCTGTACTTGGACCCCACTTCCGGTTCAGTCCCATTCTCTAAATGAATTCGGAATTCCCATTCATAAATTTCTTTTATCAAAATCCTGTGCATTGATCGCGAGGTACAGAATTGCACTGCATAAGGTTCTTCGCTGGGATTTGCTATGTTTGTTTTCTGGATAGATTAAACGAGTAACAGTCTTACCGAAAGTATATATTTTCTGTACCTCGAGTATTTAATGCCTAGACTGAACTGACTTGCTGCTCATGCACGTGAAGTGGATTCGTTTCTGATTCGAAACACGATACCGGCTAATGCAGATAATCACTAGAAAGGAAGCACGTCAACGTGAATATTTCTACTGTAGGGATTCCTTTATCTCAATACTGCACCTCTTGAGCCATTTCCACGGCCGATTAAATGCAACTGGAATTCTTTTTATTAGTCGTATTTTATTCGCTGGACACTTATATCGTAGGCATACGAGATTTCTCTGCAATGTTTTATATAGGTTTTTCGTTATACAATTATCTGTTTCGCCAATAATCAATACTTTCTACTAGGGGAGGAAACCGGTATGAGTGGATAGACTTTCGAATCTTTCCATCGCAGATGGGATTACATTGATTCTTAGCTCGATCAATTTATTTCCTAAAGCCTATTTCAGTACGCTTACCTTATGCCGAGAAATCGTCCTTTAAAGTCATATTGAAATATACCATGTTAACATTCCAATGTCGTATCTGTACACCTATGCGATTCTTAATATTTAAAAATGAATTAATGGATTACAGATGTCTCTGGGATTTCTAATTACGTTCATTCTTCGTTAAGTTTTTTCAGGTCTTCGTTAATTTAAAACGGTCATACATATAAGTATATTCCTACGAGCTTGCGAAACTGTCACATATAGTTTCCCACGTGGTCGATAAGAATGATCGTTGGCTCAAATCAAAGCCGAAAAAGAATGGAGGACGTCACTAAAAAAAAAAATGACACTCTACAGTAGAATGTACTGCCAAAATCGTTCGTTGCTACTTGCCAGAAACTGTCAGAGAGCCAATATAGCTAGGTTAATACTGCATATCGTAGTCGCATCAATCGATCTCGAGATAAGGCTGCTGCGGATTTGAAAATTTATGAGAATCTGCCGAAGCTTCTTACCTACTTTGCTTGTCAGATTCATCGAAATAAGGCCGTGTCGCGATAACAGTAGCTATTATCAACCGTAAAGGTTCCTCCGCAGTGACCGTGTCGTTCACGGTCTAATTCTTGGCAAATGCAGAAAAAGACAAACAGCGCTCATCCTTATTATTACCGGCGGACATAATTTACTTAATACACAGCGTACGTAATGCTCGTGCTTACGACATTACGCAATCGTTAAATGCACACCGAGCAACGGAATGCATAAATACAGCAGTCCTACGGTAAGTCATTAATTAATTTGGCCATTAAACGTCATCGGCGTCGTTAAAACATTTGGGCGGTCATGGCGCGTTCGCGATGAAAAAAAGTAGCTGCCAGGCGTAGAATAAATAGTAAAATCGGCTGGTAAATCATTAAGATAGGCGCTCCCGTAGCCAGAGGTTCGTGGACACGTGCCAGCCATCGGGGGAGGCTTTTTAACCGTAACAGTAGAACGGGTTTGCGAGGGATCGGACTGGATTGTAGGAGCGAACTTTGGTAGCTATTATACCGAAATCGAAGTACACGAAAGGAAGTACCAGACAATGCGGTATGATATTACTTTTTCTTTTCCTTCAAGTTTCGAATAATAAATTCAAGACACGGTTCCGTCGATATTCTATCACTGCCGTGTCCATGCTTCCAGGTTTAAGAGGACATTCGAACGATGATGCTATATGAGGCACGAGGTACCCCAGGCGATGGGAAGTTTCTTCGGCAGGCACGGTAACGGAAGTTAGGTACCCTGTGGTGCGGTATATAACCTAACCTAGGTAGCTGGAGGTATTAGGTAAAAATGCAAATTGAACCCTTACGTTTGCAACGTGCATGTACAGCAGCCGAGAGAAATAACTTTGTTTCGGTTCACGAACGAATCAGTCCAATCCCTTCGTTAAACTAATGAACGGCTGGTCGACAGTTTTACTTTGACCGCACTACCCTTATTTAGCTAATTGAAGCCCTTGAGGATATGTGGAACTTGGCTCTCGAGATACTTCCTGGTAAGCGTAGTTTACGGGCAGTCATCGGTTTGGAAAATTAAAGTGGGATACGCATATACCAATCCTTGAAATGAAAGTTGGGAATTGCATATTTCATATGCGAGCCGGACATATTTTTTCTTATTCTGCATTTACAAGAACTTCGCCAATCAGCGGGACTGACTCTGAGGGTGATAGTGGAAGGAAAAAAAAAGGGTCATGTTCGATTTCATTTTATATTCATACGAATGCGCTCTTGAGGCTACTCGACGAGAAGTTCGAAACGGTGAAATTGCAATCTCCGGATAGCAGGAACCTGCGACGCTTTACTGAAAGGATTTGCGTTACAACCTTGAGGTAGATTAGGTTTCCCGGGCTGAGACTCGAGCTTGCACGAGGTCCTGTAGCGAATTTGAACCGCGTGTGCGATTTATGAGACACGAACGGTATAATTTGATATAAAATATGTTAGTTGTCTTAAAATGATCCCAGCTCCATCCGCTCGAAATGCAATTAAGTTGCACCTAACGATGACTACGGGTAGCGACTATACGGTTTCCTATGATAATCGAACACTCGCTTATTCAGTTACTTCAAGAGGCTAATTAGGTCGATTTCGCTAATTGAGTGCATTTCATCTCGTTTGAAATTTTACGGGAGTAATTGCCGGGATCCGTTCTCCCTTGGTCCTCTTACCTTTTGATTTGCTTTAATTTTGACGAAATTCTACGTTTTATTAAATCAAAAGTCGCTTATACGATTTTTATACGTACGGCCGTGTGTGCGTCGGCTTCCAGGTGTCGGAGGATCGATACGACTTTAATGAGCAACTTATAAGGGGAATGGTTTGTATATTAGCTGTTTAGCTCGTTAACGGTGTCCAGATATACCCTGCCGAAATAAACAGTTCGTTAACCACAGAATCGCCGGGAACGAATTCGTGCTCAGAGTCGGACAACGATCGTCAGGTTACAATCGTTCAGTCACTGGCCGTCGTTCCGTGATAACGTAGAGTCTTAAGGGGAAAGCGTTCCGTCCTATCTGTTTTACCTGGTGATAAAGAAAAAGCAAAAAGTCCAACCATCCCCTCGTATAACGACCACCGGAAGCTAGTCCCAACTTTCGTGGCACAAAGCCAAGCGATCCACGCGAAATTCGACGGTAAGTTTACGCGACGAGTCTTTATTGCTGAGAGGCCACGTGGCCACGCGATATCACAGGCACCTGTCATATGCTAAACAAAAGTCAAGGGTCAGCTTTGACTCGGCACTGGTTGCAGCCTGAAAGAACAGGGACGACTATTCTTGCCACGGATTTTCTCCCAGTCTATTATCAACCGTGCGGATATCGATCTGCACTTTCATACATATATAAATGCCTTAATGACAGTATATTAATAAAACCTTGTAACGTTATAAAATTATGGACAATCTTTTTTTTATCTACATGGGTCACAGAGCCGCGTATACCTTCTATGGGGCGAGACTTTCTGATTTATGGATCTTAGTTAGCGAGGGTGTAAAATGTCACTGGGCGCTTGCTAAAATCGAAATACAGAACCGAGCTTGGCTGGCTGGCCAGGCGAGCAGGCAGTCGGCATGGAGGGACTTCTTTCCATGTATTTGCTAATATACACTGGCACCGTCGCGAGCTCTGCGCACACCAGGCATTCTCAAGGTTTCGGTCGGGTTCGTCTTCGTACGAATTCGCGCCTGCGCTACAATATTGAATTTGAAACTGTTCGTATAGGAACCGTACCAGCCGCTCAAACGCTTTACGGAGTTATGTTTGCCCGCGAATGAATGACCGAACGATGAATGGCTCCCTTTTGACAGATCGATCGTGCGACGGTTATGCTTGCTCCTTTCGTTGCTGATTGTTCGTGAGCCGAAGGACCGACAGCAAATCTATTGAGACTTTGAACCGTGGATACGTCTCGGTAATGAAGACGTCTTACGCATTCATTTATGACGTAACGACCAACTAGTCTCACGTTACGTGCACATGGCTGTGTGGAGATGTTTCATTTCTTTTTTAGGTTAGAAAATTTATTAAATATCGATATCGTAGATTCGGGCTGTTATCGTTCGTGGGAAAATTTTGGACCTTCCTAGGGCTCGAAATAAGTTTTACGTAATTATGACTTATTATGGATTACCTAGCTCAACCCGACAATCTTACTATTTGAACTCCCCTAACTATTTCCCTCGTGGGCTGTCGTTCGTTACTGTACTCTTATGTATAGGGTGAACAGTTAATGATGCAGTTACCTGTAGACAGTACTACAGTATACGCTGTAAACATGTATATCGAGCCAATGTATTTTCCTAGTGTTTAATAATCAACTCGGCGTCAATTTTTTATTTATTATTATTTCAATCAATTAATAATTCCATTCGAAACTCGCCCGAAAGAACTCGAATGCTGGACCAATGTCGAAAATGAATTGCCAATCTGCAGTTGGTACTCGGGTCGATGTAGTTATGAAATCTAGTTGTTCTGACTGCTGCCCGTTCGGTACTAGCATAAAACATGGAGAATGTGTACCATAGGTACGCATTTGAAGATTGCCTGAATACACGCTGCCATGTATCCATAATGCATGTGCGCTTAGTCGGCCACTCGAATGGCCAGTCTATCGACATGCTTTTTCTCACAAAGGGCA